TTATTAAAGGCTGGAAGATCCTCTCACTCGGGAGGAAAACTCGACGGGTATCAGAAGGTACTGTTCCATTTCCTTCAGAACCACAGAAAGTTACAGTATAGAAGGCCATTCAGCTTCACCCCCCCCCAACCGCCTGCTTGCTGACTCTTTGGAAAAAAGCAATCCATTCAGTCCCATGTGTACTTGCTGTCAATCCTCGCCACAGAGCCGGAGTGTTCCCCATTACTTTGCATTGTATATTTGAGCGTCTGAGAAAGTCAGAAATACACCGGTGGAATGAAATCATTGATAATGGTTCTTATAACGACTCCAAACACCTACATTATTTCTTCCCGCTTTCCTTTCACTCTCTTTCTTTCGTGGGAAGCTATCTTGGGTTTTTTTGGAGAGAAAAAATGGAAAACACGGAACTCGATTAACTTGAAGTCATTTTCGAGTCGATCTGAAACTTGCACTTTGAGAACAGACGCCAGAGAACAGAAACATGGGAACGCTTTCTCGATAATTGTGCTGTGGCTATGGGGTTTTCTGCCTCCGCTGTGTTTAGCTGCGCACTCGCGCTCTGAAGACCGACTGTCACAATAATGGGTGGTTAAATAAACCTGATTGCCCTTCATCAAATGATTCAATTTTTTTAAAAAAAAGATAAATTATTTGATGAACACACAATAGGTCTTGGATGTACAAGGCCCTTTGGCCCATTTCGGGCAGGGTGAAACCTTAGGCAAGTTTCCTTACTCCACACTCTGCTGTTTATCTGGCAGTAATGGGGAACCCGGTTGTTAGTCAATTGGCGGATCGCTTTTCTGGGGGTAATAATTCCTTCACAAAAAATAATAACAAATTGGCCACTTCAAATACACAGCCGATTCACTATTCTGAGGCGCTCTGAGACGTCTCGCAGAAGTGATAAGGCGCTGCATCAAATGCAAGGATCATTACTGTTATTTATTATAATAATAATAATAATCCTTACATTTGATATAGCGCTTTTCACGTCGGGAGGACGTCCCAAAGCGCTTCACAGAACACACTGTAAAGTGAATTGACTGTATATTTGTGGGCGAATGCGGCAGCCAATTGCACACAGCAATGTCCCACAAACAGTCGTAGATTGAAAATGACCAATTTAATTATTGTTTTTTTTTTTTGGAGGGATTATTATTAGGCGTGAGGAGTAAGGAAACTTGCCCAAGGTTTCGCCCTGCTTGGAAACCATCAGTTCCAAACTGCAGAAGGACCAGGATCGAGATATCAGTGAGCTGATTGCCTTGGGGGTGCCAAATCAACGGGTGTCAACCGAAATCCAGTACGACCAAAGACTCTTCAACCAGAACAAGGTAGGCAGGGCGACCATCGCAAAGCAGCGTCGATGGAATCTTCTTTGGAGAGGACGGTGGAGTGGAATTAGCACATGGCAGCCCAACCCCTTCGCTCCTCGCTCAATGACTGTCAGAGCTGAGGCCATTGGCTTCCTTGTTCGTCCCCACACCAGCAGGTGGAGGGAGCAACGACAACAACATCATCAAATTACACTTGTAGAGCACCTTTCACATCGGAAAGACGTCCCAGGGCGCTGGACAGCAGTGAGTACGAACCCGGTTGTTAGTCAACAGCTGCTCCAAGGTCCAGGAACTCAATCCTCACTGGTAATTCTTGACAATATACTTCCATTGGGTGAGAAGTGTCCGGGCCAGTCAACATGTACACGTACGTAACCAGGCACACCCACACACACTAATGTGCTAATAATAATAATCCTTGCATTCGATATAGCGCCTGATCACATTGCTGAGACGTCTCAAAGCGCTTCACAGGATATTCAAAGCGTGCGGTGTGTGGGCGAAATGCGGCAGCCAATTGCACGCAGCAGCGTCCCACAAACAGTCACAAATTGAGTGACCTATTGTTTTTTTGGGGGGGGCTGGAGGGATTATTAACCCCGGAAAGCGATCCGCCAATTGACTAACAACCGGGTTACTAGTTACTGCTCGGTAAATAGTGCGGAGTAAGGAAATTTGCTGAAGGTTTTGCCCTGCCCGGGGATTCGAACCCGGGTCCTCTCGCTTACGAGGCGAGCGCTGTTAACCACTGAGCTACAGGACTCAGTCGTGTCTTGGTAGATAACCCTGACTGCTGGTCAGTGGTTTGTAAGAGCGAGGATTCGCAGAAGAAGGCCAGCGGAGATTTGCGTCAAAACTCCCAACTATTCCGACGGCCCCCAGTGCAGGTCACTAACTTCTCACCGCTTCAGGACAGCTCTATCTTTGCACACGTTTGTCACACCGATTGTATCAGCCGTGCGGGTGCTCGCCTGAGCAACGCTGCAGGCTTGAGGCGTTGTGACCAAACATTTGAGTGTTCAGCGGGTGTTCAGTGGCCCCCCCCCCCCCCACCCCGGGGCGTGCGGACCGCAGTAAGCCAACGCCAGTGTGTAGCGGAGCGGAGACGGAGAACACAAGCACGGGCTGCGACCTGAACAGTCGGCGAGACGGAAGCATTTAAAGCAAACTCGGCTCGAGGGTCGATCGAAACAAAGGTTAACTGGAATCTTCCAACCACGACGCCGCGTACAACCTGTCGCTCAGCAGGCTCCGGCCCCCCCCCCCCCCGCCGCCGTCAACGGTTGGACCTTCAGCCTCTCTGCCCCCCACACGCTTTGGAACTCCGTCTCAGATTCCCTTCGCCTCCCTCCCTCCCTCGCCTCCTTCAAGGCACGTCTCAAGACCCTCCTCTTCGACCGCGTCTTCGGCCACTCTCCTACGCCCCCACCCTCCCTGCCCTCCACCCCTCCCTGATCCCAACCCCCCAACTCGGGTCCAAATCCCTGACCGCCCAGCGCCTCGGGACATCCTTCCGCCGTGAAAGGCAACGTGTAAATGTCATTTGTTTGTCTTGCTTTTCCTCAAAGAGAAGCCTGAGAGTAACATATCAATCTCGTCGCCACTCACTAGGACTGTTACTGTTGGAATCCTGAAATAACAGTGTCTGTTGGATACCTTGGGGCATGTTTTGCTCACACCATTACCGAACTGCACCCCAGGGAGGATTCAATCCACAGCCACCGACTGGCGTCAACACATTTAACACCAGCTCTGGCAGCGCTTTGCTCGGCATTTATTGGAACGTAAAAGTGCCTCATAACTGTAAAATATATAGAATATATTTAATGAAACATAAAGATTTCATAAACAGCACTTGTTTTCCCATCGTGAGCTATATCTGCTTGGACTGGTTTGCGACTTTGATAAATAGCTGCCGCTGTGGTTTTTATGATGTGGCTTAGCTTGGTTTGCCTCCCAACACCCAGCGTCACACAGAGGAGAGTGGTGCGTGTGTGGGGATGTGTGTAGGGGTGTGTGTTGGGGTGTCTGTGTGCGCGTGTGTGTGTGTGTAGAGAAGAGGGAACACCTGTGTGTGTGTGTGTGGGGTTGGTCGGGCAGGGAGCGTGTGTGTGTGTGTGTGTGTGCGGGCATGGGGGATGTGCATGGGAGGTGTGTGGGTAGGGAGTATGTGTGTGTGTGTGGGGTGTGGGTGGGGGGTGTGTGTGTGGGGGGGGTGGATGGGTTAGGGAGCGTGGGTTAGGGAGCGTGTGTGTGGGGGGGGATGGGGAGGGAGAGTGTGCATGTGTGGATGGGGGGTATGTATGTGTGTGCGTGTGTGGGGAGGAAACATGCAGGGGGGGGGACAGAGGGCAAAATAAAAAGTCCTGTCCTTCTAGAGCCGTCTAATGACAACCAACGACAACAATGGCGTCGCTTTAGACGTCAAAATTCCACAGTAATCATCCTTGCCTTTGATACAGCGCCTTATTGAGACACGCCTCAAAGCGCTTCAGAGAATATACTGTGCGGCGGAGTGACTGTCTATTTTGTGGGCCCCGCGGCGGCTGTGGGTGGAACGTCTCCGGTCGTGCCCGAGCACGAGTGAACCACGATGGGAATCGCAGCTGCGGGAAACTACCGCTGTCTGTTTCCTCGGCGTCTGGGCCTGAACTGAGACCCCTGCGACCAGTTCTTGCTAAGCGCTGTCCTATTCAAACGAAGATTATTTTTTTTAGCATTTTAAACACGACGACACGTTCGGGAAATGTACGTCTGTAAAGCTTTAATCCGGGTCGTTCCGCGAAACGCGTGTTGTTTCAATAGCACCAAGCAGCTCGCCGCAATTTCCCGTCACATTTGCCGAACGCCTCGCAATTCGGGGTGGGGGGGGGGGGGGATATTTTTCCGCAATTTTCCAAGTGACGTCACTGGTGATATAGCGACCTTGACAAGGCTTTTTCAGCATGGCAGGAGGCCCTGCGAGTTGCTTGTACACGCGTGCTGGGAATTGGGTTCCACACCCCAACTGTGTTGTAATCAAATCAGTGCAATGAAAGAAATACGTGAGGACACTGGCTGATTCCCCCCTCATCCCCAACCAACCTGGGATACGGCAGGTAATTGTGGCAGCCAACGTGGCTGAGATCAACTAACTGAGCCCGGGATCCAATCTGGTGATTGTCTGGTCTGTATTTAGTGCTCAAAATGGGCCTTTGTTTAAATGTCTGATTGCTGAAATGTCCTAATTGCAAATGATTAGCTAATTAAATTCTAATTGCTGACAAAAATCAAGGAACTGGCCTGAAAAAGGGGGGTGGTGGGGGGGGGGGAAGAGAAGGAGTTTAAAAAACAAACAGCGCGAGAGAGAGAGATGTACAAATCTATGAGATATCAACAGAGGACTTTTCAGTGATTTGGAGGTCGAAAATAACCTCATGGCTTTGGCCTTCAGAACGCTGCCTTAAAATTTAAGGCTGTGCAGGCCCTTGCAGAACAAACTTAGGCTTAATTTGGAAGCTGGTTCTTTAAGAGCTAATAATAATAATAATCATTGCGTTTCACGTAGCGCCTTATCACGTCACTGAGACGTCTCAAAGCGCTTCACAGGATATACTGCAAAGTGGAGTGACTGTGTATTTTGTTGGTGAAATGTGCACTGCAGCGCCCCCCCCCCCCACAAACAGCCATGGAGTGAGTGACCAATTTTATTTGGGGGCTTGTTGGCCACCCTAACCTTGCTCCTAAATAGACTCTCCCCAAATTTGGTCTTAAAGCTAAGACAGTGTATTCTCATGATATGTGGGTCTAACTGAAGGGCAAAGCTGGGGGCGCGGGGGAGGGGGTTGGAGAGAGAAAAGGAGCGACTCATGTCTTCTCACCAGGGTGCGAAGGCCATTACACGTCCCATACATACACCCCAAGGCACAGTGGCAGTTGTGCAGTCAGGTAGAAACTCGACGCAACGGGATAAATAAAAGTCCGTCCCCGAACATATATACACGCAGCCAAATCAGCAATGCTCTCCCCCTCCTCTCCAAATAGGCTCGGGGGCCCCGCTCTGTGGCTCGGGGGCCCCGCTCTGTGGCTCGGGTACGCTGTGCTGGTGAGAGCTGCTCTGAGACGCCACTGACAGGCTCTCGCTCTCTGACTCGTCGGTGAATCTCTGTCCGGGGCCCAGCACCTGCCTCACGGTCATGTTGATGCGGGAGTCCTGCAGGTATGTGGCGCAGACGTCCCATTCGGGCTGGTCAGCTCCGTCCGCCGCTTGCTCTAAGCAGCCGGGTAATGTCCCTCCACCCTGGCACGGGAGCACCCGGGGAATGGCGTGGTACAGGAGCCGGCTCTTGCCGGACATGACCATGATGTCGCCGCTGTGCATGAAGAGGGGTAGCGGGGCGTCCTCTCTCCTCCGGCCCCCGAGTAAGAACACAGCTGACTGGCCGAAACTACAGCAGAGGAACGGCAGGTCAGTGAGACGACGCTCCACTGAGAGAGAAGCCACAATGCACATCAAACACTACCCTCACCCCCCCCACACCCCCTCAACCCGAGCGCTGAACACCCAGCTCAGCCTTCAGGTAACAGCGCTCATCGGTTTGTGCGGCTTCACTGAACACTACAATAATAATCCATACATTTGATACAGCGCCTTATCACGTCATTGAGACGTTTTAAAGCACTTCCACAGGATAGATACCAACATACTGTCTCCTGTGAAGCGCTTTGAGACGTCTCAACGATGTGATAAGGCGCTGTATCAAATGCAAGGCGTATTGTTATTGCTGTTGTAGACAAGCAGAGGAAGGGGAAAGTTTACCTGAATGACAGGAGGGGCTTGGAGTGATCCAGTTCTGATTCATCCACATGAATCCCCAGCGAGGAATCAAAATGGTAATAGTTCAGAATTCCAGCTTCTGCCTTGAACTGCTGGAAGCCACAGGCTGCTGCCACTCTCTCAGAAAGGTGAGCGAGCTCGGAGGGGAATGCGTGTAGTGATTTGCTGAATACCTCTGCAAAACAGGCCCCGTCCACAGTTACAGCTAAGTCCTGAGTTACAGCCCACAGTGAAAATCGTCCGAAATACACTAAAAATGACATTTACCCAGCGCCCTTCAAGCTCGGGAGGACGTCGCAAGGCACTGGACAGTCAGGGATTTGGACTCCAGCAGGTGGGGTTGGGATCAGGGGGGGAGGAGGGCAGGGAGGTTAGGAGGGTGGATGAAGGCGTGGTCAAAGAGGAGGGTCTCGAGACGTGCCTTGAAGGAGGCAATGAAGGGAGTGAGGCGAAGGGACAGTAAGATGAGTTCCAAAGGGTGGAGGCAGAGAAGCTGAAGGCTCGTAGGTGGTGGTGGGGGGGGGGGGCCGGGCGGGGGACGAGGAGCAGGCCGGAACCTGCTGAGCTAAGAGAGCGGACAGGTTGATTTGGGGTCAGCAGATCACAGGGGTAGGAAGGAGCAAGGCTGTGGAGGGCCTTGAAGGCAAGGATTTTGAACTCTACCCTCTGGGGAATGGGGTGTCAGTGGAGCCGGGGGATGGTGGTGGTGTGATAGGAGTATAGGATCACAGAACCGAGAGAAGAACATGTGAAGGACCACAATTGACAGATGGCTATTCTGACAGAAGCCAACGCCTGATGTCCTTCTCTAACAGGCTGTTATGATGGGTCTCTCTGTTGACTTTAACTGCTTGGAAACGTCAAAATGGGGAAAACGAGCAAAAACAATTGGAACGTGGATCTGTCACAGTGACAAACAGCAACCCAGCACAAGGTTTGTCAGGTTAACAGCTGAAGAGGAGAAAACTAGTCAGTAGGAGACAGAAAGGAAGGGGTGTAGGAGTTGGGGGGGGGGGGGAAACAGTAACGGGAGTCATTCACAAGCTATTCTATATTGATTAATCGCCACTTATTTTCCAACGCACACTCTGGGGTCCCCAAGTCTTGCCAACCTGCGCCTAATACTTTCCAGAATTAGGTAAACAGGATGCATCCCTCCAGGGAGAGAGAGCGCATTCCATTCCAACAATCTATCTCTGGGATTTCCACGTGTAGGTGGGATGCCTGGAATTCTCAGTTGGGTTTGGATGCTCTTGAGCACCGTGATGGGTTTCTGCACCTGTCAGATACCCGGCTGAGCAAAACAAAATATTTATGGCCAATTTCAGTGGCAACTGGTAAAGGCACTTTGCTACAAATCACACAAGCAGCAGAGAGGAGAAGCGGTTACCTTCGTGTCCCAATTGTAGTGATATCCCAGAGTAACCCATCGTAGTTTTTCCAGCAAGCTCTTACCCTCTCGTTTACCAGGACGTTTTCGCCTGAAAGAAACTCCTTATTAAAAATAATGGCACTTGAAAGATTTTTCCTCCACTTCTCTCCAACCCCTCCCCTCGCCTCCCCACACATATAATAAGATGTGTTAAGATGACCCTTCGCCCTCCTTTTTCGCAATCTTTCCTATTTTTCCGCAAAAATAATAACAATAATCCTCGCATTTGACATAGCGCCTCATCATGTTGTCGAGCCGTCTCACAGCGCTTCACAGAATATGCAGTAAAGTGAATTGACTGTGTGTTTTGTGGGCGAAACGCGGCAGCCAATTGAGCGCAGCAAATGGGTTCCACCAATTGGGCCCACTTTCTCAAGAGAGCATTGCAAGGCCTGCACGCCATACCTCCCTTCTTCGTGCTACAAAAACCACACGGGCCGACCTGCGAAGTGAGCAGTGTTCCTTCGGGAAACGTTTACCTCAGCTGTTCCTTGCTCCTCTCCCACAGGTCCTGCGTTTCCTCGGTCGACATGTGGAGATCCAGGTTGCAGATGTTGGGTTTGCGAGGGTAGGTTTTCAGGCAGCGCTTTGTCCAGTATCGCTGCCACCCGGGGAGGAAGGGATCCACAATGAACATGAACCCTAACCAACAGAAAACACAAGCAACCGCTGAGAGGTACAGCCCGGAGGAACATTAGATAAAAGTCCGTCCCCGAACATATGTACACGCAGCCAAATCAGCAATGCTCTCCCCCTCCTCTCCAAATCGCACATACTACAATGATACAGCGTGTCCACACAGTCCTGTTATCACCCCCCAGCGCACCCCACCCCTCACCGATGAAACAAACTCCTCACTCCATCCATGTTACGGAAGATGCGGCAGCGAACATGGCAATGGATCGTTATCTGCCACGAAAATGCTGGCTCTCTCTGACACGGATACACTGATTTTCTGGACGTCTAAATACAGTTAAACACTCGTACTGAATACAATTAACTATTTCTAATACAATCATCACGATTCTTCCACATGTTTCAGTTGTTGGTCAGTGCACTGTAAAGAAAAAAGTAACAGGACTTTGTGAACACGGAAGACACATTCATTCGCTTTCTGTCCTTCAAACCTATTTAAGTTGGGATTGATCTCAGCAGGGTCAAGATAGGAGGAAACATGCACTTTATCAGACAGACTCAACTAAACCAAACAGGGAGAGACCTGAAAGATCCCGGCAGATTGCACCCCAGCAACCGAGATAAAATAAGACCATAAGGACCAACCAGAGACAGCGCGGAAAAGCACTCCACAACTCTTAATTGAGGAAAAACACAGTCAGAAGCTTGATGGCAGGCCCTTCTCTTAATCTGCATAAAAATCATGATTTAACTGATTACAGCAGTTAGGATTTGCAGACGGAACAATGAGCACAAAATCTCAAGAGAGGACGAGCAAAGAAGGCCCTTTGGGCAATGGCATTACGCAAAGCACCACGAGATAATAATAATAATAATCCTTGCATTTGATATAGCGCTTTTCACGTCAGGAAGACGTCCCAAAGCGCTTCACAGAACACACTGTAAAGTGAATTGACTGTATATTTGTGGGTTGAGGGTTGATCTGATTGAGGTTTTTAAAATAATTAAGGGATTTGATAGGGTAGCGACAGGAGGCTCTGATATAGCACCTTATAGGATCTCAAAGTGCTTGACAAGATATACTTTAAAGTGGAGTGACTGTGTATTTTGTGGGTGAACTGTGGCAGCCAGTTGCACACACAGCAATGTCCCACAAACAGCCATGAGTGAGTGACCCTTCACCACAAGGCTCCACCACTGTTAAGCGCTCTGAGACGCTACCCTGAGTGAAGGACGCTATATAAAAGCAAGTTGCTGTTGTATGTATGATTATTGTGCACCTATTTCTCAGTAAGTACAGTACTGTCAGAAATTAATAATAATAATCCTTGCATTTCATATAGCGCCTTATCATACCATTGTCTCAAAGCGCTTCGCAGGATACACTGTAAAGTGAAGTGAATTGACTGTATATTTTGTGGGTGAAACACGGCAATAATACAATACAAAATGACATTTGTGTAGTAACTTTCACGTCGGGAGGAAAAGTAAACATGCAGGTTTTAGATAGTTTTCTTTAGTAAATAGGGAATTGGAAGCTGGCAGAGATCCTAGATTTGGGGACAATCCAAGTTTCATTGCAAGTCTAAGGTCCTCATTTCCAACACCTTCAACGCACTGAAATCTGGACATTTCCTCATTCCTTACATGGCTAATATGCTGATACCCCAAACCCATTATCAGACTGGATTGCTCAATCGCACAATTTGGGGACAATTTGCCGACCAACCGGATATATTCTGTCATGCTCTCTTTCTGGAGGGTTGAAAGGAAAGAAAAAAAGAAAGTGGAAGAAAGGGAGGAGGCACTGTGACCGTGAGGGATTGAGCAAACAGTGAGCAGGTGAGGATGGTAGTGGGGACTGCGTTTATAAACAAAAAACAGAATCAATTGTACCACATTTTCGTAAGTGTTGGTCCAGGGAGCGGGTGAGGGAGGCTCTTTGGCTCCCGGATCACGGACTACGCAGTGAGGTACATGCTCGATGGGGACCATTATCATCAACAACAACAGGGTAGCGTCTCAGAGCGCTTAACAGTGGACACTGCCTTGAAAGAGAGACAGAGTAAACACTATTAAGGATGAAGTCTGGCAGTGAGCTTTAGGTAGTAAGTAATTCCATCTCAGGGTTCTGTCACTGTTCATAAAGCACCAGCCCATCCGTCGTTCCTGTGGCTTATGATCCCGTCAGAATTGATTTAAAGGAAAATAAATTGAATACGAACTGGAATCTGTCAAACAAGCGCGAGGTTATGGCCTGATGGCCACGTGCTCCTTTACATGGGAAAATGTAATTTAAAAAAAGAAATATTAGCAGACTGTCACTACAGGGTTCGTTCAGCATTATATGTTGAAGCCGAAACCATGACCACATGAGCTCTCACTACAAAGGCGGCTGCTCTTCCAAAGCTGAACAGTTTCACACACACACGCAGACCACAAACATTTGGGAGTAACAAGTGGCTGCACAGTGTTCCAGATCAGGCTCCATGCTATACAGTACCTGGGTATCCATCGATACCATAAGCTTTCCATTTGTTGATTGGCTGTAGTCCAGCTTTGCAGGCCTCCCCATCGCTGACTGCGGAAACGTTGAGCTGAGTAGTCACTACCTGCCAACAGAATGAGGAAAAGTCACAATCTGGAGGACAACAACAATAATAATAATCCTTACATTTGATATAGTGTCTTTCACTTTGTCGAGACGTCTCAAAGCGCTTCATAGGTTATTCTGTAAAGTGTCTGTACTCTGGAATGTCGGTGTATTTTGTGGGCGAAACTCAGCAGCAGGTTGTGCACGGCAGTGGCCGACAAACATCCGCGGAGTGAGTGACAGATTTTATTTTGGGGGGAGTTTTGGCGAGGCCACTGGGAGAGAGAAACTCCCTTCTCTTTTTGAATAGTGCCATAGGATGTCCAACCGAACAGGCAGATGAGATTTCAGTTTAATGAGTTTAATGTCTCATCCCCAAGGACGGCACTTCCCACAACGCAGAGCTCCCCCAGTTTTACCTGGCAGAATCAGCTGGACCGGGAGCTCAACATCTCGAGAGAAACATCGATTCTGGGAGGAAGGTTTAAGGTGAAAACAAACATAGGAGGTAGTAGTTGGAAGAAGCAGCTATTACCTGAATAGATTTGTAATTTAAAAATAATGATACTGCACATTTGCCGATTTACAGAGTACAGTTAGCAAAAGGGCAAAGGAAAGCATAAAGTTCTTTGTTTTGCTGACCAGAATTAATTCCTCCTTCACTCAGCACAATTCACCGAGAGCACACTATTGATTTCTGGGGATAAGCATTACACAATTAATAAGCAGAGGGTGAGGTGGGGGAAAGAGGTGATAATCAATGTATGTACTGACTCAAATCATTAGCACTACACTGTTCAAAGACAGATCTACCATCTCAGTAGAATATATAGAATTGACTTGAATTTTAAAAAGGAGATAAGATACTTTGGAAGTAATAATAATCCTTTCATTTGATACAGTGCATTATCACGTTGTTGAGACGTCTCAAAGCGCTTCACAGAATATACTGTAAAGCGGATTGACTGTATTTTGTGGGTGAAATGTAGCAGCCAATTGTGTTCCACAAACAGTCGTGGATTGAGTGATCAAATTTATTTATTGAAGGGATCCGCCAATTGACTAATAACCAGGATCCTATTTAATACTAGGTAAACAGAGGCATGCGGAGTAAGGAAAGTTGCCTAAGGTTTCGCCCCTTCCGGGAGTAAAAGCACTAAGATTGATAAGAGAAAAGGTGGAAAATAATTTTCATTATCTAATGAAACAGTGAAATCTACTCCAGACCCAGATCAAAACCAATATGAGAGCTACATATGAAAGCTATAATTCAATAACAACTAATATTTCTGCGTCCCTCAAGCAAAATCTAGGTCAGCGTTCAGGCAGTGTGTTAGGACCAAATCTGTAAACTCTCTGCACAATTAACAATCACTGCAGGTTTTCCTTTTTCAGAACCACCTGTGAATCCATGCACCATTGAAACTGCTCAACACTTGCTCCAGTTTTCACACTTGAGCAGTGAGTAAGAGTGCTTTTAAAAGCTTACGCTAGGATAAATAGTAATGGATTATTTACACTGGTCGGCGAGCCTGTAACGAGAGGGCACAGAATCTTAAGATAATAACAGAAAGAATTAAAGGGGTGGTTAGAAAACAAAAAATCTTTACTCAGCGGGTGGTAGGAAAATGGAATTTCTTTGACGCGGAATTGTTTTACAACAAATTTCAATCGATACCTGAAAAAGAATATTAAAGGATAATAATAATAATCTCTGCATTTGATACAGTGCCTTGTCACGTCGTTGAAGCACATCAAAATGCTTCACAGAATATATTGTAAAGTGAATTGAGGGTGAAATGCGGCAGTAAATTGCGCACAGGATATGTGGAGAGAGCAGGAGCAAGTGATTAAGATTAGATGGTTCGTGTAGAGAAAAATTACCAGCACATACATGATGAGCCGAATTGCCTGTTTCTATGTGCTGCAGAATTGTATATGAACGCTGAATAGGAAGTGTGTGGGGGGTGGGGGAGTGGAGAAGGAAAGAGAATGGAAATTTGAAGTTCTGAAATTACAGAAATATAAATTTCAGTGCATATTTGAATCCCTTTGACTTTTGACGTATGAAATATGCAATGAATGGTTTGATTATACCAAATTTCCTTTGGTTTTTGGGTCCCTCACATTCAGCACAGACATTTCCCAAATTTTCCACAGCAGGTAATTTAATCCCAGAGGTCGAGCTGGTGGCTAAATGCGAGTGTGTGGACATGAAATCAAACGCAGGAAGAGGCAAATGCTTTGTCAGGATCAATCTAATCACTGACTTAACAAACATCTAGACAATTCACAATACTCAATCTGAAAATGGAAAGGATTTTCTTGCGCTATCCTGCAATGATTATAGTAGTTTCTCAAGCAATCGATGATTCAACACTAATAGACTGCACCGTCACCTAAGCTGACTCAAGATGGTCTCATCAGGATTGTTTGAGTTGGTAATGGGAGACGGTACAACCGCTTTCACACTACTTTCAAAGTCGGAGAAGCTACAGCAAACGCAAGGATTATTATTGACTTGTATAATTTGTGCCGAGCTTCTGAAATAGCTTTACAGTTTTTTTATAATCAGGAATCAACCATTATAATAAAATAATCCTTGCATTCGACGTAGCGCCTTATTACATATTCCAGATGTCTCAAAGCGCTTCACAGAATATACTGTAAAGTGAATTTTGTGGGCAAAATTTGTTAGCCAATTGTGCACAGCAGTGTCCCACAAACAGTCATAGATTGAGTGACCAATTATTGTTTTGAGGGATTATTAACCCCGGAAAAGCGAATTTTTATTTTGAGGGATTATTAACCCTGGAAAAAACAATCCACCAATTGACTAGCAAACATATTCCTACTTACAGCTAAGTAAACTGAGGCTTGAGCAGTAAAGAAACTTGCCTCATGTTTCGCCCTGCCCGGGAATTGAACGCAGATCCTCTCGGTTGTGAGGCGAGTGCTCTAACCGCTATGCTGCAGGACTCCATCTCATCAGCTTTGTGTAAAAGACAACAACAAAATTACATTTGTATAGTGCTTTTCACATCAAGAGGACGTCCTAAGGAGATGGACAGACAGTTACGGACCCAAGCTGGGGGTCAGGGTCGGGGAGGGTGGAGGGCGGGGGGGGGGGGGGGAGCAGGGAGATCGAAAGCATGGTCGAAGAGGAAGGTCTTGAGATGGGTCTTGAAGGAGGCAAGGGAAGGGGCGAGGTGGAGGGACTGCGGGATGGTGTTCCAGAAGGTGGGGGTAGAGTGGCAGAAGGCCCACCCGCCAATAGTGGGGCGTGCGAGGTGGGGGACCTGAAGCAGGCCGGAGCACGCTGAGTGGGGGTGCGAGCAGGATGGTAGGGAGTTAGGAGTTCGCAGAGGTAGGGGGGAAGCAAGACCGTGAAGGGCTTTGAAGGTGAGGACCAGGATTTGAACTGTATCCTCTGTGTGATGGGAAGCCGGTGGAGTTGGGCGAGGATGGGGGTGATAGGGTCACGGAGCCCGGTGTGGGAGAGGACACGGGCTGCAGAGTTCTGGATGATCTGCTGCCTGTGGAGGGAGGAGTTGGGGAGGCCGACAAGCAAAGAGTTTGCATAGTATGAGGGTTTCGGCGGCCTGCGGTGAGTGACAGCGGCGGAGCCGGCACAGATGTGGGATAGAAAGGATAGTTGAGGGTCAAACAAGACCCCAAGGTTCCGGACTGGCTTAGCAAGGTGGAGTGTGCAGCCATGGATGGTGATGCTGTCAGCTCCTGAGGTGAGGAGACGCTGACAGGAGTCAATCAGGAGAGCCTCGGTCTTGTTGACATTCAACTGAAGAAAGTTCGCTCTCATTCAGGACTTGATTTCTGACAGACATTCTGTCAGGACAGCAGTGGTCCCGGAGTCGAGGCTGGAGGCAGAGAGGTAGAGTTGGGTGTCATCCGCATACATGTGGAAGTTGACCCCATATCCAAGAGAGGGAGCATATGGATATTGAAGTGGAGGGGACCAAGGCCAGAGCCCTGAGGAACGCCACACGAGACCCGAGTTCATTTCAGTTTGTTAATTTCAGGATTGCTGCCTTCTTCTGCCTCTTTTCCCAATGCCCTGAACGCACATTGCAAGTAATAATAATCCTTGCATTTGATGCAGCGCCTTATCACGTCATCCGAGACGTCTCAAAGCGCTTCACAGAATATACTGTAAAATGTAGTGACTGTGTATTTTGTGGGCGAAAAGCGGCAGCCAATTGCGCACAGCAGTGTCCCACAAACAGTCGTGGATTGACGGGTCTTGTCTGGGTTAAGGTACGCAATGCAAGAATAAGGAGATTAATTGTGAAAGGAGGTGGGGGGAAGAGTGTGTGTGTGCTGGTGGGGGAGAAGAGAGTACTTGTGTTAGTTGTTTGGGGGGGGGGGGGGAGAAATTGAACACATTGGGCAGTGTTCACAAGGTAATGTGAATAGCAATTTTAGAGGGGAGGAAGTTATAAGAAATATGTTGCGTTACGTCACACACAGTGGTCACACTGTCACAGATTTATTTTAATGCAACTCTTTGAGGCTGCCATGCCAGCCTGGCGCAGTGGGCAGCACTCTTGCTCCACGTCGGGACTTGGAACCACATAGTCTAAGATGACACTCCCAAGCAGTACTGGGGGTGGGGGGGTGGAGTTGCGTTGTTGGAGGTGCCACCCTTCGGATGACACTTTAAATTGAGGTCCCATCTGTCTGTCCAAACGAACTGTTCTATGGGTTGATTTGGAAAGCGAAGGGAGTTTCTCTCTCCCGGTGTCCTAGCCAACAATCCCCCGAATCACGTCGGGACTCCATGGCTGTTTGTGGGACTGTGAGAAATCTCAATGACATGATAAGGCAGCATATCAAATATAAGGATTATTATCACGTTATAGTAATAAATATATTTTATGAACAACAGCGACAATATGGAATCCATTATTACTGAGTGAAGCCGACTGCATCTGTGCCTGTTTCAAGACTTGGTTCCGTGGGTAGCACTCTTGAGTTTGGGTCAGAGGGTTGTGGTTTCAAGCCTCATAGCGTGACTTTGAAATCAGTCTGAGGCTGGCAATCTGCACTATCAGAAATATCCACTATCAACCTGGGTTCAATTCCCAGGCAGGGTGAAATATTAGGAAAGATTCTTTACTCCTCTGTTTACCTAGCAATAAGTAGGAACCCGCTTGTTAGTCGTTTGGCAGATCGCTTTCTAGGGATAATAATCCCTTAAAAATAATATTAACAATAACAACAATAAGATTCTATTTATAGAGCGCCTTTCACGTCGGGAGGACATCCCAAGGCGCTGTACAGTTGGGTCAGGACCCGAGCAGGGAGGAAATGGTCAGGGGGAGGGGAGGGAGGGAGCGAGGAGGGGGTAGAGAGTCGAGAGGGGAGCTGAAGGCACTGTCAAAGAGAAAGGTCTTGAGACCGGCCTTGAAGGAGGAAAGGGAGGAGGTGGCGAAGGCACTGGGGGATGGAGTTTCAGAGCCTCGGGGCTGAGAGGCTGAAGGCCCGGCCACCGATGGTAGGTCGGTTGGGGCGGGGGATGTGGAGCAGACCGGAGCCAAAGGAACGGAGGGTACGGGCAGGTAAGTAGGGGGATAGTAGGTCGGAGAGAGCGAGGCCGTGAATGGCCTTGTAGGTGAGGATGAGGATCTTGAATTCGAATAACAATGTGGTCACTCAATGTGGTCGTGGATTGGTCATTCAATCCATGACTGTTTGTGGGACGTCGCTGTGTGTCCACTAAACACATAGTCACTACACTTTGCAGTATATCCTGTGAAGCACTTTGAGAAGTTTCGTAGACGTGATAAAGCCCTACATCAAATGTAAGGATTATTATTATACCATCTTTTGAATAAGATGTTTCAGTTCAGTGGAAGCGCATTCTCCAGGTTCCCATGAAAAGGAGAAAAGAAATTGAATATTGTCACCAAAATAATCTATTTAAGACAATTTTTTATTTTAAAGACACACTAGATAGTCCACTGGCAAGAAACCAATTGAAAAAAAATGCTCCTACAGGGAATGTAATAACCAACTGATCAGGAAGTGCTGAAGGAACACCAAAGCTGTAGTAACACACAAATATGTATTATTCAATAGCAATCATCTTCCTGCAGTAGCTAATATTTAAACTTAGACTAGACTTCAATAATACCTTCATGGCATAACACGTGTACTTCTGATTTAGTACGTCTTGAACATAATTTGTGGTGGTTAAACTACATTTAAAATTCTGTCTACCAGATTCCCTTTTTAAAAAGAGGATTAACCGATACTAAGAGTGTCTTTTGGTTCGTGCAATGAGTGTTGATGAAAAGAGGGGAGCTTATAACAGCAGAGATTATAACAGCAGAAAACAGGAAGAATACTTGAGAAAAATATTAAGAGGGCACAGAGAAAGAGCAGAGAACATAAGAATTGCTAGAAGGAAGACCAGGGGCCATCCAGTTCGCCTTCCAGCATCTTGGCAGTCCCGTGCACGTTATGTCCCAAACTATATACAGTATCGCACAATATTATTTCTTAACAGACATCTATCTGAATTGCTTTTGAAAGAATCAACACTTTCCGCTTCCACCTTCTCCCTCGGAATGAGGTGCGGTAGCTCCAACAGATGCGAGCACCAGCCCAGACATGAAGGGAAGGAGCAGGTTAATGGGATTAAGCGGAGAGAGCTCCATTCAGGGAATCTGGTACCTGCACTGATGTGATGGGTCGGTGCAGTAACTTTGGATGATGATCTAAAAGTCAAGGGTCCCTGTTTGAAATGACTGGGGATATTTATTCCTCAAGAGTGCCTCAGTGACGGTCATCAACGGGACAGTTTCCGATTAAAGAGGTTCAACCCATTTCGTTAGGAATACGTTTTTCTGATCTCTGCTTCAGTTAATGGCCTCCTTCACAACCCACCCCCCAACTCCTCTCCTCCTCCTCACCACTCCATTCCCCCTCCCTACTGAATCCTCTCCATTCCCCCTCCTTATTGCCCTCTCCTTATTGCCCCCTCCCCATTGCCCCCTCTCCCCATTCCCCCTCCCCATTGCCCCCCTCTCCATTCCCCCCTCTCCATTCCCCCTCCCCATTGCCCCCTCCCCATTGCCCCCTCTCCATTCCCCCTTCTCCATTGCCCCCTCTCCATTCCCCTTCCCCATTGCCCCCTCTCCATTCCCCCCTCCCCATTGCCCCCTCTCCCCATTGCCCCCCTCTCCATTCCCCTTTCCCATTGCCCCCTCTTCATTCCCCCCTCTCCATTCCCCCTCCCCATTGCCCCCCTCCCCATTGCCCCCTCCCCATTCCCCTCCCCATTGCCCACTCTCCATTCCCCCTCCCCATTGCCCCCTCTCCATTGCCCTCCCCATTGCCCCCTCTCCATTCCCCCTCCCCATTGCCCTTTCCATTCCCTATTGCACCCCCTCCATTGCCCCCTCCCCATTGCCCTCCCCATTGCCCCCTCCCCATTGCCCTCCCCATTGCCCCTCCCCATTGCCCCTCCCCATTGCCCCCTCCCCATTGCCCCCTCCCCATTGCCCCCTCTCCCTCCACTCTGCTCTCCGACACTCAGCACTTACTGCACAGTTGCTGTCGGTGCGGGAGAAATCGATGACGCCGGAGAGGTCCGGCGGCGGTTTGCGCCTCTTGTAATACTTAAACAACCGCCTGAAGGCGTCTTCGCGCTGCTCCAGGAGGGCGGCGGCCATCTTCCCCCCCCCCGCCACCGTCACGTGACGAGGGGGCGAGGGGGGGGCGAGAGGGCGAGCGCGATCCCGCCCGATGTGGGGCGGGTTGGGCGGGTTCACGCCCAATTCGGCGGTTTTTAGCCGTCACACAGAAGGCGACGCGTAATATTAAGCTACTTTGGGGGCGGGTTTTTGGGCTACTTTGGGGGGCGGGTCTGGGCGGGTTTTTGGGCTACATACCTAACAAACCCCGTCTTTACCCTCAATCCCGGCTCTTTATTATTATTATTTTTAAATATTAAAACAAAAAAGGAGATGCCGCGCGGGGGAGCAACAAAACAAACAAACAAACAAATAAAGAACTAAATGGCCAGTGAGCGCGTGGTGTCCGCTGTGACTGGAGCGGGGGGTGAAAGGTCAGGCGGCGGCGGTTGGTGTGATGGCGGCTTCCAGAAAAGTCTACGAGGTTTTCGTCTCCCGCGTCCCCTGGACCGCGGCGAACAGTGAGTCCGACTCCCGACCTGACCCGACCCGACCCGAGCCAACCCGACCCGAGCCAACACAGCACAGCACAGCACAACACAGCACAGCCCAACACAGCACAGCCCAACACAACACAGCACAGCCCAACACAACACAGCCCAACACAACACAGCCCAACACAGCACAGCACAACACAGCACAGCCCAACACAGCACAACACAGCACAGCCCAACACAACACAGCACAGCCCAACACAGCACAGCACAGCACAGCCCAACACAGCACAGCCACAGCACAGCACAGCCCAACACAGCACAGCCCAACACAGCACAGCCCAACACAGCACAGCACAGCCCAACACAACACAGCCCAACACAGCAAAGCACAGCCCAACACAGCACAGCCCAACACAGCACAGCACAGCCAACACAGCACCAGCCAACACAGCAACAGCCAACACAGCCACAGCCAACACACACAGCCAACACAGCACAGCCAACACAGCACAGCCCAACACAGCACAGCCAACACAGCACAGCACACCCCAACACAGCACAGTCCAACACAGCACAGCCCAACACACAGCACAACACACAGCCCAACACACAGCCCAACACACAGCCCAACACACAGCCCAACACACAGCCCAACACACAGCCCAACACACAGCACAGCCAACAACACAGCCCAACACAGCACAGCCCAACACAGCAACCAACACAGCCCACACAACACAGCACAACACAGCCCAACACAGCCACACACACAGCCAACACAGCCCAACACAGCACAGCACAGCCACAGCCAACACAGCACAGCCACAGCCAACACAACACAGCACAGCCCAACACAGCACAGCACAGCCCAACACAACACAGCACAGCCCAACACAACACAGCACAGCCCAACACAGCACAGCCCAACACAGCACAGCCCAACACAGCACAGCCCCAACACAGCACAGCACAGCCCAACACAACACAGCCCAACACAACACAGCACAGCCCAACACAGCACAGCCCAACACAACACAGCACAGCCCAACACAGCACAGCCCAACACAGCCCAACACAGCACAGCCCAGCACAGCACAGCCCAACACAGCACAGCACAGCCCAACACAGCACAGCCCAGCACAGCACAGCCCAACACAGCACAGCCCAACACAGCACAGCACAGCCCAACCCAACACAGCACAGCCCAACACAACACAGCACAGCCCACACACAGCACAGCCCACACACAGCACAGCCCACACAGCACAGCCCACACACAGCACAGCCCACACACACAGCCCACAGCCCAACACAGCACAGCCCACACAGCACACACAGCACAGCCCACACAGCACAGCCCACACAGCACAGCCCACACAGCACAGCCCACACAGCACAGCCCAACACAGCACAGCCCAACACAGCACAGCCCAACACAGCCCAACACAGCACAGCCCAACACAGCACAGCCCAACACAGCACAGCCCAACACAACACAGCACAGCCCAACACAGCACAGCCCAACACAGCCCAACACAGCACAGCCCAACACAGCACAGCCCAACAAAGCACAGCCCAACACAGCACAGCCCAACACAGCACAGCACAGCCCAACAAAGCACAGCCCAACACAACACAGCCCAACACAACACAGCCCAACACAGCACAGCCCAACACAGCACAGCCCAACACAGCACAGCCCAACACAGCACAGCCCAACACAACACAGCCCAACACAGCACAGCCCAACACAGCACAGCCCACAGCACAGCCCAACACAGCCCAACACAGCACAGCACAGCCCAACACAGCACAGCACAACACAACCCAACACAGCACAGCCCAACACAGCACAGCCCAACACAGCACAGCCCAACACAGCACAGCCCAACACAGCACAGCCCCAACACAGCACAGCCCAACAACACAGCACAGCCCAACACAGCACAGCCCAACACAGCACAGCCCAACACAGCACAGCCCAACACAGCACAGCCCAACACAGCACAGCCCAACACAGCACAGCCCAACACAGCACAGCCCAACACAGCACAGCCCAACACAGCACAGCACAGCCCAACACAGCACAGCCCAACACAACACAGCCCAACACAGCACAGCCCAACACGGCCCAACACAGCACAGCCCAACACAACACAGCACAGCACAGCCCAACACAGCACAGCCCAACACAACACAGCCCAACACAGCACAGCCCAACACAGCACAGCCCAACCCAACACAGCACAGCCCAACACAGCACAGCCCACACAGCAAAGCCCAGCACAGCCCAACACAGCACAGCCCAACACAGCACAGCCCAACACAGCCAACACAGCCCAACACAGCACAGCCCAACACAGCACAGCCCAACACAGCACAGCCCAACACAGCACAGCCCAACACAACACAGCACAGCCCAACACAACACAGCCCAGCACAGCACAGCACAACACAGCCCAACACAGCACAGCCCAACACAGCACAGCCCAACACAGCACAGCCCAACCCAACCCAACACAGCACAGCCCAACACAACACAGCACAGCCCAACACAACACAGCACAGCCCAACACAACACAGCACAGCCCAACACAACACAGCACAGCCCAACACAGCACAGCACAGCCCCACCCAACACAGCACAGCCCAACACAGCACAGCACAGCCCAACACAGCCCAACACAGCACAGCCCAACACAACACAGCACAGCCCAACACAGCACAGCACAGCCCAACACAGCACAGCCCAACACAGCACAGCCCAACACAGCACAGCCCAACACAGCACAGCCCAACACAGCACAGCCCAACACAGCACAGCCCAACACAGCACAGCCCAACACAGCCCAGCACAGCACAGCCCAACACAGCCCAGCACAGCCCAACACAGCACAGCCCAACACAGCACAGCCCAACACAGCCCAACACAGCACAGCCCAACACAGCACAGCCCAACACAGCACAGCCCAACACAGCACAGCCCAACACAGCACAGCCCCAACACAGCACAGCCCAACACAACACAGCCCAACACAACACAGCCCAACACAGCACAGCCCACACAGCACAGCCCAACACAGCACAGCCCAACACAGCACAGCCCAACACAGCACAGCCCAACACAGCACAGCCCAACACAGCACAGCCCAACACAGCACACACACAACACCACAGCACAGCCCCACACAGCACAGCCCCACACAGCACAGCCCAACACAGCCACAGCACAGCCCAACACAGCACAGCCCAACACACCCCAACACAGCCCAACACAACACAGCACAGCCCAACACAGCCCAACACAGCACAGCCCAACACAGCACAGCCCAACACAGCACAGCCCAACACAGCACAGCCCAACACAACACAGCACAGCCCAACACAGCACAGCCCAACACAACACAGCACAACACAGCACAGCCCAACACAACACAGCCCAACACAGCACAGCCCCAACACAGCACAGCACAGCCCAACACACACAGCCCAACAGCACAGCCCAACACAGCACAGCCCAACACAGCACAGCCCAACACAGCACAGCCCAACACAGCACAGCCCCAACACAGCACAGCCCCAACACAGCACAGCACAGCCCCAACACAGCACAGCCCAACACAGCACAGCCCAACACAGCACAGCCCAACCCAGCACAGCCCAACACCAACACAGCACAGCCCAACCCAACACAGCACAGCCCAACACAGCACAGCCCAACACAGCACAGCCCAACACAGCACAGCCCAACACAGCACAGCCCAACACAGCACAGCCCAACACAACACAGCACAGCCCAACACAGCCCAACACAGCCCCCAGCACACACAGCACAGCCCAACACACACCAGCACAGCCCCAACACACACAGCACACAGCCCAACACAACACAGCACAGCCCTCACCAACACAGCACAGCCCTCACCAACACACAGCACAGCCCTCACCAACACACAGCACAGCCCTCACCCACACACAGCCCCAACACAGCACAGCCCAACACAACACAGCACAGCCCAACACAGCACAGCCCAACACAGCACAGCCCAGCACAGCCCAACCCAGCCCAACACAGCACAGCCCAACACAGCCCAACACAGCACAGCCCAGCCCAACACAGCCCAGCCCAACACAGCACAGCCCAACACCAGCCCACCCAACACAGCACAGCACAGCCAACACAGCACAGCCCAACACAGCCCGACACAGCACAGCCCAACACAGCACAGCCCAACACAGCACAGCCCAACACAACACAGCACATGGAAAGTGATTGCAGAAATTGAATCCTTACACCTTGTTTCTTTTCTTCCCAGTCATTCAAAATAATTTTGTGCTTCTTGAAACACCTTCCATATAAAGTACTGCCAAAAGATAAACTTATTAAAATGTAGTGTATCTTTGACATTTTGATAAATAAATATTGCTCTTCAGAACAAGTTACAATTCAATGTTAATTTATAATATTTGCATTTATTACCTACAGCGCCTTATCACGTCGTTGAGATGTCTCCAAGCGCTTCACAGAATATGCTGTGTATCGACTGTATATTTTGTGGGCAAAACCCAGCAGCGCACAGCAGTGTCCCACAAACAGCCATGGATTGAGTGACCAAATAGTTTTATTTATTTGAAGGGACAGGTATTACCCCCAGAAAGTGATCCACCGATCGACTAACAACTGAACATACTCTTTTTTGGGAGTTGAATTGCTTGCGTCTGTCTTTATCAAAACACATGACTCGAGCTGACTGGGTTGGAGATTATTTTCCCATGGAGCACAGTATCTAGGACCCTTGACTATAGTAGAACCTTGGAGCTCTGACTGTTAAAGATCGGAGCATCAACATATTAATGTACTGAATCCTTCCCTTCTTCCTAAAAATATGGTTGTGCTTATTCAGACCTGATTTATAAAATGTTGGAGTCTTTATCAGATGATGGAGATTTATAATTCTTTATATTTTACAGAGGAAATCAAGGAATACTTTGGGCAATTCGGTCATGTGAAGAAATGCCTGCTTCCATTTGTGAGTATTGAGTTATTAATATTGCTTAATCCCGTTAAAGTGATTTAAATATAAGATCGGAATATAAATTATAATATAGAGCACCATTTACAATAGTAATAACTTGTATTTATTATAGGCTTAATGCTGAGCTGGAAAGGGTGACTGAAGGCATGGTTAAAGATGAAAGTCTTCAGGTGTGATTTGAAGACAGGCAGAGAGGGGGCAAGGCTGAGGCATGGAGTTCCATTCGGGATGTAGTGATTGAAAGAATTGCCACCAATTGAGGAGCGGAGGGGACGAGGGACGTGCAGCAGACCTGAGCCAGCTGAGTGAAGATGGGTAGAGGAATGGGGTGTGCCAATTGGAGAATCTGAATCTAATGCCAGCACTAAGACCTCCTCAGATCTATTGAAGTACTATGGGGACAGTTAAGATATTCCTTCCATAAAATCCTATTCTTATTCACTATGGTCTTTGAGAAAAGTTTGCTCTCATCCAGGACTTGATGTCCGACAGGCAGACTGTGAGGACAGCGATGGTCCTAGAGTTGAGGGTGGAGGCAGAGAGATAGAGTTTAGTGTCATCCACATACATGTGGAAGTTGACCCCATATCTTACCAAGGAGCATATAGATATTGAAGAGACGGTCAAGACAGAGGAACACCACACGGTGCGGGGGCTGTTAGTGGTGGCAAAGTGGAGACGGTGGGAGGTAGGATTCAATCAGACAAGGACAGGTCCATGAAGATTGAGCTGAGAAGAGAGGCGGTGTAGGTTGTCGTTAAATTTAATCACAGAAAGGAAATCTCTTTATGGGATAATTTTGCCAAAGTGTCATTCCACTTTTAGTGACATCTGGTGTTACAGATACAGTTTTAATCAATAGTAGAATCAAGTCAAACCCGGGACTAAAAAAAGGTTTGTATTGCAGCAGATAGTTTCTTGTGGCAGGCAGAATTTTCTGTAGACCAGGATAGATATTGGCAGCTATGGAAGCTCTGAAAACAGTTGTTTGAGAACTTGAACCATTTGAAAGCTCATTAATAATTACAGGGGTTAATGATGCTTCCAAAATAAAATGGTCACTCAATCCGCGACCGTCTGTGGGACACTGCTGTGCGCAATTGGCTGCCGCATTTTGCCCACAAAATACAGTCAATTCGCTTTCGTCTATTCTGTGAAGCTCTTTGAGACGAATCGAAGATGTGATAAGGCGCTGTATCAAATGCATTGATTATTATTATCAATACAATGAATTGTATTGACTGAAGGAGTACAACAGGGAACTTTAAAGTCAGTAATCACTGATTTTTAACTTATATAGCTGCATTTTGCTTCCACAAAAGTAAAATCTATTTTCTTAATTTTAAAAAATCTGCTTCCTCCAACTCTGTTTGTTCAGCTTCCAAGGTGCATGTGCATCCCAGCTCATCTGATTGACATGCAAATTCTGTTCTTGGCACCCAAACGTGTTGCTTGGCACCAGAATTGCTTTCGTTCGTTGCTAGCACACTGACAGTGAAGCAGCTGTTTGGAACTGTGCTGTGAAAACTATTACGGTATATTCTCTGCCTCCCTTCAACACGGGCAGAAAATGCCAATTAAATTGTTCAAAATGAATCCAAAATGTTCTCGCTTTTTCTACTTGGCCCCCGGATTTTTCTTTTTGCCACTCCCCACCCCCACCAAAAAAAAACTGTTAGATGTTGTATATTAAAAAAAACTGGTCACCCAATCCATGACTGCTTGTCGGACACGGCTGTGTGCAATTGACTGTCGTGTTTCTCCCACAAAATAAGTCAACTTACTTTGCAATATATTCTGCAAAGCGCTTTTGAGACTTCTCACCAACCTGATAAGGCGCTGTATCAAATTCGAGGATTGTCATAACATCTAAAACAGTGAGAGACAGTCAAGGTCATTGCAGTGATGATTTATGATTGCTATTCAACCAAATTATGACAGCAAATTACTCTTTTAGGATTAAAACCTGGAAAAAGTGCAACTATTCTAACACTTCTTTTCTATGGAGAGGGAAGAAATATGTTATTACTTGTCACTGACACGATTGCATTTAATTTTCTTCCTCGTAATTATATTCAAAACTGCACAAAGATGATCCCGTACTATTAATTTTAGTATGTTACAGCCGTCCACTTAATTTGTGTTATCTGATTCTTATTAATCTGTTATTACAATTGTGTTACAAGGCAGTAACACGTTCAGGGGTGGAAATGTCAATCCACTGGAGTTCCAGTCTTGCAGTGTATTATTGGCTTACACATACTATTATCTAAATTAACTTCTGCTGAAACCCTATAGCCAAAGGAGCAGTGAGTCTTTGGCAAGAATTTTCTTTTAAGGAATGGAAATAGCTAAAATAATGTGATTCCAATGTTAATGTGCCACCTGCAGTCTGTGCACAGACCGTGGGGCTGAGTCCATTATTACACTTCCATTAACAGATGTGGAATCAGATCAGTTGGACCGAGATTGAACTATTTGCTAACCATTTTGCTAGACTTAATTTGAAACAAATACTCCCCTCCGCAGTGGTGCTAAATTGCTTACAGTAATCTCCTTGTCTTCCAATGCTTAACTCATTCTCTCCCAGCGCCTCAAAACTGTAACCTCTTGCTAACTACCACAATCTGCAAGCTTTTGAAACCTGAACTCATCTAACTAGTTTTGAATTTCTCCACGATCCTTCGCCTAAAAAAAACCTTGCAACTTATTTTTATCTTTCTTAATCTTTCAGCATGAATTGTGGCACAGAAATGAATGGAAAATACAACTATTCAGTGCTAAAGGATGGGCATTTGCCCCGGTTATTAAACATTTCAGAATACTGTAGCTTGGAGATGATTTCTTCACCATACTTTTCTTTCCCCCCCAAAAAATATCTGAACTTCTCTGTTGCAGGACAAAGAGTCTGGATTCCACAGGGGATTTGCCTGGGTTGGCTTCAGTTCAGAGGAGGGGCTGCACAATGCACTGCAAAAAGATCCACATGTTGTAGATGGAACGAAGGTAGTTTCAAACTAAATATTTATCCTTTACTAAAATCACTAGGTTGTAGAAGCGTTTTGGACATTTCCCCACGCTTCCTATTCCATTGTGTAAGGTTTAAAGTTGGCGATTTTAATACAGTTTTCATACAAAGTGTGAATTTCCATGTGTGGGGGAGGGAGTGTTGTACAAAAGATGAGGTCAGACTAATTGTCAAAACTAAAATGTAAAGTTAAACATTAGACCACGTTGCAATATGTAAACCCAGGCCTGATTGAAGGCACGGCCACCGATGCACCACAGCACCTGCTGACATTGATTGTCACCAAATAACCCGCTGACGTTGGCTGTCAAGGCTAACCTCTGACTAATGGACATCCAGGATGTTAGTAAGTACCTTTGGAACTATGTCTCTTCCTCCCTTCAGTAGATAACTCATCTAAGAGGAAAGAGAACATTTGCAGAAGAAAATAACTTGATTGATTTAAAAATAAATGTAGGAAAAAAAGCTTACAGAATTTTTTTATTTGAAAATGAACAATGAGGAGTTATAAAATGGGGGCAACAGTCAGCCTGCGATACAAATGCAATGCAGATTTGAAATACCCTCATCTAACAGAGCGAGTCTTGGGCTGTCGTTTTACCCGTTGGCTCACCTGGCTAGCTTTCAAAGGACTGTATTGAAAGAGGTAATTTAATTTTAGTCAGCCAACACTGACACGTTGGTTTGGTTCTAATAGGAACATTTACGGCTACACATTCCACTGAGACAGCACTGGTGGGTATCATATTAAAGCAGAGCTAGGAATTGAATAACTCATTAAAAATTTATTCTCTTGACAGCTTCAAGTTCAGAGAAACAGAAGAGTGTTTGAAGGACAAAGATCAAATAATAAAGTCACCGAATCAGCAAGTTAGCGGTGTGGGCCGCAGATTAATTGTATTTGTTCAGGTTATCGTTAAATAAAAATGGTAATCTAGTTTAACCAACTGGTGTGACAGTGACTTTCTACATATTACACGAAAAAGGTCTTGTATCATAAGCAATTTATCGCGTAGCTCTGTAAAGTCCCGAAAGTGGACAGAATGCATTGTTTATTTCACATACTGTTAACCAGCTTGTAAATGGACTGTCTCACTTAGGAATCTTATGTGTAACGTTTTTGTACTGTTCACTTCCTCTCAAGACACAAAAATGAGCAAGAAATCGCTGACCCCATTGCTAGTTGAAAGGAAACCCAGGCAGCTTTGAGATACTTTCTGCTACGCTGGCTGACGTTTCCACGCAGACAAAGACCCAGAAGGGTTTAAACTAGACTTTCCTATATCACAAAGTGTGGCACATACACAGTCCTGGCTATTCCTTTCTCCGTTTCTTGCCCTCGTGCTCGTACTCTTTTGAACGCCCGCTTTCCGGCCTCTTGGACCCGCCGTGCTGCTTAGCTTCTTCCAAGAACTTGTCCAGACCAAAGGGATCCTCTTCGTCCCTCTCAAACTGGACCGGGCCTTCACGACGTTGCCGGCTGCGGTCTGTGCCAGAGAACTCTTTGTCCGGAACAAACCTAAAGCAAGAATATAAATGATGCCGTTTGTCAACATCTTGCCTAAAGATACATGTACGATCAGAGTGCCTTACACTCTCCCCGGGGATCAAACCAGCTCATTAGCAGTTGCAAGTCACAAGTACATATCTCAACACTGAGCTTCGGGTGCCAGTGCTCGACTTAGTTCAGTTAATCAGTAATCTCAATTAATACCTGTACAATGTGATTGGGGCTAAAACGTTTTGCTGCTTATCGACAATAGATTTTTTGCACCTATTAGTACATTGGAATTTGAGTATGTGCAGCCACAACAAACTATGTCCCACTCAACCTACAGATTTTATCTTTCTTTCAAGTCCATTCAACATGAATTCTAAGTGAAGGTCGTTCTTTTAAACACCTACCTGTTATTTTTCATCAGCGTGTCTAAATCGTCACCGTAAATGTCTTTGTCTGTATTCTTGCTTGGCCGGTAAAGATTTTGGGCCATGTCCTTGCCTCCTCTCCAGGGCTGGTCGTACACATTGTAAAGCTCATCCTCGCCTCCTGCAAAGCCGCTGCTTAACCCCTGGGAACAGAAGGAATAACAACAATAATAATAATCCTTGCAATTGATATAGCGCCTCATCACGTCTTTGAGACATCTGAAAGTGCTTGGCAAACCCCATCCAGGGTGTTATTTCTTCGTCGGACGAAGAATGAAGCCTCTCAGTGAGAATTTATTACATAAATTTCTGTTAGGAAATAATATCTGGGGATCCAGTATATAGTTTGGGACACGACATGTCAAGGGACTGCCAGGATGATGGAGGACAAATTGGATGGGCCTTGATCTTTTGCCTAGCAAATTCTTATGTTCTTATTTAATTTAACAAGCATTATTAGTTACTGAAACTAACGAGCTGCTAAATTACTGACCCGTTTCAAATACATTTATGACACAGGGCGTTTATCTGATATTCGCAACCAATTTCCTTGTTACGTTTTAAAATGAATCGTCAAATTAATTGAATAAAAGGCCATACATGTTCAGAGTTCTATTGGTAACAAAATGAATCCACAATGTTGGGACAGAGTTCTGCAGGTTTGCAGCCGCTGGGGGAAAAGCCATCAGCTCATTCTCTCCACAATAAGCAATTTTAAACATTCAGATTTGATAACACTTGTTAATTCAAATTAATTGGCTTATTCATGTGACATTGCTATAGCGCAGATTTGCTGCTGCATTTGTCTGTAACGCACTCGTTTCATTTCCAGTCAATTTTATTTGCAAAGCGCTCTGAGATGTTTGTTTTACGTGAAAGCCGCTGTGTAAATGTAAATCATCACTGGGGGAAAATCAGCAACAGGAATAAAATTGTATTTCCAGTATTATCACAATGTCACCAACAAAAAGCTGTCACATTGTGATAAGGCGCTATATCAAATGCAAGGATTATTACTTTCTTAGGTTGTAAAAAATTGATTAATTTCACAAGTTTTCAGTTGTAAAAACCTGTTATTGTTACACATATATTAGGCTGTGGCCACCGATATAAACACTGACTTAAAGCAGACTGACTGCATAAGTTCAGCGAACATATTCACGTGTTGGCTCCCCCCCCCCCCCCCCACCCCACAAAATACAGGCAACGTTAAAAACCTATACGCCAGATAAATTAAAAATAATAATCCTAGCATTTATATAGCTCATCATGTCGTCTTGAACTCTATCCCCTCTCTTGCCTCCTTCAAGTACCGTCTAAAGATCTTCCTCTTCGACTGTGCCCTCGGCCACCCTCCCACCTCCACCCACCCTGACCCCAACTCAGGTCCAAAAGAACTTGACTGTCCAGCGCCCTGGGACGTCTTTCCGATGTGAAGGGTGCTCTACAAGTGTAATTTGATGATGTTGTTGTTGTTGCTCCCTTCACCTGCTGGTGTGGGGACGAACAAGGAAGCCAATGGCCTCAGCTCTGACAGTCATTGAGCGAGGAGCGAAGGGGTTGGGCTGCCATGTGCTAATTCCACTCCACTGTCCTCTCCAAAGAAGACTCCATCGACGCTGCTTTGCGATGGTCGCCCTGCCTACCTTGTTCTGGTTGAAGAGTCTTTGGTCGTACTGGATTTCGGTTGACACCCGTTGATTTGGCACCCCCAAGGCAATCAGCTCACTGATATCTCGATCCTGGTCCTTCTGCAGTTTGGACCTGATGGTTAACAAGTAACAGTAATGATCCTTGCATTTGATACAGCTCCTTATCACGTCTTCGAGACGTCTCAGAGCGCCTCAGAATATACTATGAAGTGAATTAACTACATTTTGTGGGCGAAACGCAGCAGCCAATTGCGCACAGCAGTGTCCCACAAACAGTTGTAGATTGAAGTGACCAATTTGTTATTATTTTTTGTGAAGGAATTATTACCCCCAGAAAAGCGATCCGCCAATTGACTAACAACCGAGTTCCCCATTACTGCCAGATAAACAGAGGCGTGTGGAGTAGTAGTAATAATAATCCTTGCATTTGATATAGTGCTTTTCACATCTTCTACACGTCTCCAAGCGCTTCACAGAATAGACTGTAAAGTGAATTGACTGTATATTTGTGGGCAAAATGCAGCAGCCAATTGAGCACAGCAATGTCCCACAAACAGTCGTGGATTGAAATGACCAATTTTTATTAATTTTTTCTTTCTTGAGGGGCGTGTGGAGTAAGGAAACTTGCCCAACATTTCACCCTGCCGGGAATCGAGCCTGCGAGGTGAGAGCTCTAACCACTGAGCTACAAGACTCCACATGGAATTAGATGCACCACCCTCGGTTGCCACAGGTAATATCTGGGCCCAATTAACATTTATTTCCCATTAACTCTTCACGTGCAGTGAAATGTCACACAATGATCCACATGCTTTTCCAGATGAAGGATTAAAATTACAAACAGACAGGTAAAGACACACAACACACGCAAAACACGATATCCACTGTTTTCACACCCACAATGAAACAGTGGTGACATCTCTCTCTCTCTGTAGTACCTCTTATCAGGTGCTGCCCTCGCAACATTACGATCGTGCTGTCGGTCTTTTCTTCTCTCGTGACGAATTTCATCTCGCTCCCTTTCATTTTCCTCTTTAAGAAAAGAAAACAGTTAAAAAGATGTCTGGAGAGTAACTCCATGGAATCATTTCAAAAATTTAACAACAACAATAATCCTTGCATTTCACACAGCGCCTTATCACGTCTTCGAGACGTTTCAAAGCGCTTCACACAATATACCGTGAAGAGAATTGACTGTATATTTTGTGGGAAAAAGGCGGCAGTCAGTTGCGCACAGCAGCGTCCCACAAACAATCGTGGATTGAAGTGGTCAATTTATTATTTTTTTTAAAGGAATTATTATCCCCCGGAAAAGCGATCCGCCAATCAACTAACATCCGGGTTCCCCATTACTGCTAGGTAAATGGAGGCCTGTAGATTAAGGAATCTTGCCCAACATTTCGCCCCGGGAATGCCGGGAATAGAACTCAGGTCTCTCGCTTACAAGGCAAATGCTCTAACCAATGAGCTACAGGACTCCATTAACCTTCGTGAAGAGGTTTTACTTTTAACATCAGTTCCTTTCAAACTTTGTTGGATAAACTTTCTTTTTTAAATATAATTAACACGACTAATTAAAAGCGGAAAAGGAACGGAATTTACATTCCACCCACAGAAACGTTGCATAACTGATGCTGTTTCACTCACTCCATATAATAGTCACAGATCCTGCAGGTTAGTACCAATGAATTCAATCAAAATGTAAATTTTTTTTTGCAATATATAATGCCTCTTTCAAATTGAGGTACAAAATGTTTTACCAGTTGAATTCATTATCAGAAGTGGTTACCGAGGCTCCATCAATAGAATAATTCAAAAGAGAAATGGATATGTACCTGAGCAGTAAAAAAGATATCAAGAGATATGAGGAAAGAATTGGGAATAATAATAATCCTTGCATTTGATACAGCACCTTATCACGTCTTCGAGACTTCTCAAAGTGCTTCACGGTATATACTGTAGAGTGAATTGACGGAGTATTTTTTAGGCGAAACACAATCCAAATACATTTCTGTAACTAAATAAATGCAATGCAAACCAGTTCAGCTCTGTGAATCTCTCCCCTGACTGAATTCGTTGAGATCTGATGTATGATCATGTTAGCATCCAATACCTTTCTCGTGAACCTTGATGCCGGCTCTCTTCTCCCTCGCAATCTGAGCCAGCTCTCGGAGTTTTTCCTCCTTCTTCTCTTTCTCTTTCTGAGCCATTTTCCTTTCCACTTGCGCTCGCATCTCCACAGCTTCACGGGCCTATGTACACAATGCAACGCAAGTCAGTTAGTGGGAAGGAACGGTTTCAACAACGACTTGCATTTACAAAGCGCCCTTCACACAGGGTAGCGTCCCGGAGCGCTTCACAGTGGAGGAGTCTGGCACCAAGCCAGGGGGAGAGGTGACCATAAGCACGATCAAAAAGGAAGGTCTTTAGGTGGGATTTGAATGTGAGGCGAGCGGAGGGACTAAGGCAGAGAGTTCCAGACTATCGGGGCGTAGTGGCTGAAGGTACGGCCACCGATGGTGGAGCGGAGGGGACGAAGGACAAACAGGAGGCTGGAGCCAGACGAGCAGAGGCAGCGGATGACGGAGCGGGGTCAGGGGTAAGCAGGTCGGATAGGTAGGGAGGTGAGAAGGCACCTATTGGTGTGGGGGTGGGAGGGGAGGGAAGAAGCGTAATTATTCAGAATAGAAACAGTCAAACTTTGCTGGAATTTTGCTGCGTCTCTAAACGTACCTTTCTGTCTGCGATGTAGAGCGCCTCTGCCAGTTTGGCGAAGTTCTCATTGATGTGGACAGTCTGAAGCCCTCTGCCATCAGCAGCCAGACGCTTGTCCAGGGGAATGGTGTAACCCTGGTGCCCAGAAACACACAAAAACAAACATCAAGAGCTGAAAGAACGGGACCTCCCCGGCCCGACACGAGGAAGGGGGGGATAGTTTGTAGCAACACGGTGTGGCTGTCATTCTCCAGGAATCAAAGCCAAGTCCATACCAGAGATTCCCTTCAGATAAGCACACACATGGGCCATAGGTTCATCAGTGTGGACTCTCCATTAAAGCAACGAGCCGTGTTTTCCACTGAAATGGCAGTTCACAGGAACGCAGCAACACTGGTTGCTAAGGTTTTCATCGCTGGCTAAATTAAGATTGCAAATTAATCTGGATGAATTTGTGTTCATTGTTGCAAAAGATTTTTTTTAATTGAATGCTAAAGCCTCTTTGAAATGTTAATACGTTAATATATCCCAATCTTTAATGAATTTGACGACGATCAAAGTCCTGCTCCACAGTGAAAATGACACTTGCACTGCTCATCTTGCTCCAGAATGGATTCAGACGTACCATTGCACTCACATGTTCAGCAGAATCACACATCCTATTCCAATACAGATGAGAAACGTCTTCCCAGGAGCCGTTTAGTTAAGAAATAAATCAAATGTTACACAGGGATCCTAAGTGGAACAGACTGTAATGTCTTGTGATGCACTGCCTTACAGTAGCCACACGCCATCAGCTTCACTGCCACAGCCACCACCCTCCTGGAGCTGAATCTGAATTAGGTGCACGGCTTGTTTCAGTGCAATGAGCAGTGAGTGAGTGTATGCTCCAGAATATAATAACAATAATCCTTGCATTTGATATAGAGCCCAGTTACTCAAATAATGTTAAACATCTCGCAGGTAAGTCAGTCAGGCTGAAATAGACCGGATGGGCTGTCTGTCCACTGGATTCCACAGTAAACATGCTGCGATGCTCAGAAGCGTGGGCCAAAATGAATTTCAAGCGGGGAAGAAAGAGAAAGAGAGAAAGAAAGAAAGACAGACTGAAGGTCGGAGGCTCACCTTTGCGTTTTTCCAGTTGGATATGCACGGGGGAATTTTCCATTCTTGCTGTTCCTTTACTGTCATCTGAAAATACATTACAGGAAGCCGGTAAATTTAACAAGAAGCCAGGACAAACATACAGATGCGAGCAAGGACCACGCATATCAAAACAAGCCGTGTGAACTGCGGAGACCTTGGTGTTACTTGCCTGCTGTACAGAAGAGATTATATTGTATCTATCGCAAATCAAAGAGCAGGAATCACTCGTCCTCCTCTCTGACACCCAAGGAACAGTGCACTCTCACAAGCTGCCAAGCTGAAGCACAGACACAGCACGTTTCATCCCTCTATAGTTATCACGTGACCATCAAACCTCCAAGGTTTCAGTGTGGCAGCCCAAAGCTTTTCCGCGAAGTAATAATAATAATCCTTGCATTTGATACAGCGCCTTATCACGTCATCTCAAAGCGCTTCACCGAATATATTGTAAAGTATTTTATGGGCGAAACGCAGCAGCGTTCCACACAGAGTCACGGATTGAGCGACCACAAAATTATTATTTTTTTTTAAAAAGTGATTATTATCCCCGGAAAGCAATCTGCCAATCGACTAACAACCGAGTTCCTACTTACTGTTAGGTAAACAGAGACGTGTGGAGTAAGGTGGAGTAAGTAAACTTGCCTCAGGTTTCGCCGCGCACAGGAATCGAACTGGGTCATCTACCTTGCTAGGTGAGCCGCGCTAACCACTAGGCTACAGGACTCCAAAAGCCATCGAGCCACTTAGCCCTATCTAATCAAGCTTGCAACCCATACAGCAGCAAGCGCCCACAAGGAGATATGCGACTTCTAGATTCGCTCAGTCTAGTGTGAAGTCGTTCTCCACAGATCTCTCAGCTGAAATCCAAAAAATAAAACGCAGCTGACAATGCATCTCAGAACGCAGGAACAGGAGGTCAGTCATTCAGCCCATCGAGCTGGTTCTGTCACTGCTTGTGGTGAGACTTTGGCTGATGGGTTATCTTACCTTTCTGCTGGGCGAGTGCATGACGGGGGCTGGAGGTGAGGGGGGGCCCCGAGGGATCTTCTTGTTGATTCTAAACACAAGAGAACAAAGCTGGTCAAACGCAAGCTCAGCCAGAGGCTGCGGGTACAGTGGAACCAACAACAACTTGCATTTATATCGCGCCCTTCACGCGAGGTAGCATCCCGGAGCGCTTGACAGTGGTGGATCTGACAACGAGCCGGGGGGGAGAGGGAGGGGGGAGGTGACCGTAAGCGCGATCAAAAAGGGATGTCTTTAGGCGGGATTGGAAGGTGGGGAGGGAGGGGGAGGGATTGAAGGAGAGAGTTCCAGACGTTTGGGGCGCAGTGGCTGAAGGCACGGCCACCGATGGTGGAACAGAGGGCACGAGGGACGAATGAGGCCGGAGCCAGCTGAGCGGAGGCAGTGGGTGGAGGAGGTTAACCAGGTCGGAGAGGTAGGGTGGTGCGAGGGCATGAAGGGAATTAAAAACGAGAGGATCTTGAAATCAATCAAACTGACGTGGGCTTCTGATCCCTTTACATTAACCTCAGCCCTGCCAGTGGCTGTGCTGTAACTGGGAAAACCACAAATGCCACAGTATTGGGGATTTTTTGTTTTTTATTTTAGTTTTAGCGCTTCAGAGACAGGAGCAAGAGACTGCACTGATGCTGATCATGTCAAAAAAAACGTCAGGCTCGTCACCACGTACACTCAGGGTTTGTGATACTGCGCAATGTTCCGCACTTGGGACGAAGAGAATAAAATAATCACCCTTCCGTTTATTATAGAGCCCTTAAATGACCTGTCGAAGCATTTCAGATGTAGTTGCTGTCCAGTGTAGTGACTAAATTTGGACAAAAGCAGCAACTATTTCGCGCACAACAAAATCCCACAATCAGCCGAGAAGTTAAGGACCAATTTTATTTGTTGGCCAGGACACCGGGAGAGAGAAACTACCTTCTCTTTTCGAATAGCGTAGTGGGATCTTTAACGTCCACCTGAACAGACAGATGGGGCCTTGGTTTAACATCTCATCCGAAGGACGGCATCTCCGACAATGCAACAGAAAGCCCCACTGCATTGGAGCATCAGCTTATGCTGTGTGATTCTAAATCCCGACATGGGGGTTTGAACCCACAACCTTTTGACTCAGAGGCGAGAGTGCTACTGCTGAGCCAGGCTGACTCCTACACACGATGAGCTTGGAGGCATTTAAAAGGTTGCAAGCACATTTAAATTTTAAAAAAAAACTTTTCCCTGTTCGCCAAATTCACTTACTTAAAGCGAGGCGGTTCCATGGGGTCCTTCTGCATTTCCACCATCCTGATGACCCTCTGTTTGGCTCCCGAGTTGAAAGCGACACCTTGCTGAGATGGCGTGTACCTGAGCACAGAGAGAATATGGCAAAGACCGTCACTCATTGTTTCCATGAACTCAGTGTTTTGCACTTACCCAAAGGTTTTTTTTGTTGAGCATTTAAAGAATAAACTTTTTTTTAAAAGAAATAGAATGATTTGAAAATGCAAGGATTATTAAATAATAATAATAATCCTTGCATTTGATGTAGCGCCTTATCACGTCATCGAGACATCTTAAAGAATATGCTGTAAAGTGGATGTTTTGTGGGCGAAACGCGGCAGCCAATTGCGCACAGCAGTGTCCCCACAAAATAATAATAATAATAATAATAATAATCCTTGCATTTGATATAGCGCTTTTCACGTCAGGAGGACGTCCCAAAGCGCTTCACAGAACACACTGTAAAGTGAATTGACTGTATATTTGTGGGCGAACGCGGCAGCCAATTGCGCACAGCAATGTCCCACAAACAGTCGTAGATTGAAAATGACCAATTTAATTATTGTTTTTGGTTTTGGAGGGATTATTATTAGGCGTGTGGAGTAAGGAAACTTGCCCAAGGTTTCGCCCTGCCTGGAATTGAACTCAGGTCTCTCACTTGCAAAGCGAGTGCTCTAACCACTGAGCTACAGGACTCCAAAATAAATTGTGTAAGATTGATGAGTGCCTCTTTAAGCAATACAAGTCAGTCACACAATGCATAAAATGGTTAATGAAGGCAACTTGTCTCAAACATCTAGGCTACTGATGTATCCGGTGGATGCAACGCCTCAGGGTGTGTAGATACTTTCAACAGATTTCAAAAGAAGGCAGAGCTCAACATACTTAGCCTTGGACAACACAGGGATGCAATATACAGGAGAGGCCACTTAATAATAATTCTTGTATTTGATATAGCGCCTTATCACGTCATCTGAGACGGCTCAAAGCGCTTCACATGATACACTATAAAAGTGGACTAACTGTGTGTTTTTGTGTGTGAGTGAAACAAATAATTGAACTTGTTACAAAAGGGGTTTCACGAGAGAGAGAGAAAAAGAGAGAGCGCGAGAGAGAAAGAGGTGGGATGAAGGTGTTTGAGGATTAAGGGAATTAAGTGAAAAGGTGGCATATAAAAACCTATTGCTAAAATTTATGTTTTATTACAATAATAATCCCTGCATTTGATATAGCGTCTTATCATGTCAAAACATCTCAATGTCGAGCTTAACCACACACCTCAGAGACGAGGTTGCTAAGACAGGCTGACAATGTAGTGTGCAGAAGAGATCAGAGATAGAATTGATGGTCAAAATAAATGTTTAATTTATGCCAAGCCTTCCGGTAGTTTATTTTCCATCTAGCCTGATTTCTGAGGAAGGAAACATTTACAGACATTTCAGGGAGCGAGAGAGAGGGAGGGGAGGGAGGTGGGGGAGGGGAGGAAGAGAGCGAGAGAGAGGGGAGGAAAGGAGAGAAAGATTGCACTGCATGATCGTTTTTCTTCCTTGGTAGAGGTTGAACTCTGGAGTGAATTCGGAACACGCAGTGTGAAAATCAGCTATTCTACGGCTTACATTTCAGCCAAGAGAAGTCATCCCAGTGAGTGACAGTGATGGGAGGAGTGTCGCTCCCTCATTTGTGTTGAGACACAAAATTAACCACACTTTGCCACAGCACTGAGATTTCCCTTCACTGCCCTCGTGCAGTAATTTTGAATTCCTCGCTGTGAAAAGCACAAGTACTTGTCGTCCATTATAAGGTAGTCCGGTGACGTAGATTCACAGAATTTTCACAGCACAAAGGAGGCCATTTGCCCTGTGTCTGTGCTTGTCCCTGAAAGAGCTATCCACTTAGTCCCACTACTCTACTCTTAACTTCTGTCAATGACAGTTCCCATGACATTACAACGCTTAGCCCAGCTGAGCACTTGCAACCGGAGAAAAAGGAATTGTATAAATGGAACTGAAATCAAGCCTCTCCAGTCAAAAGACCACTGCATAAATCTGATAATGGGTTTGGTTCATCTATAAAGTCCTCCATCCCACAGGAAAGAAAAACGAAGACTGCATTATTCAACAAGACTCTATGATTTGACCTGAGGGCTGCTCGAAAGATACATCAGTCACTGCAAATAACAGAATCCTTTCTATTGTGACAGGGAACAGTGAGTTGTCATTGAGCCATGAAGGATCTCTCCCTTCTGATGTTATCCGTCGCAATTTAATTGAATAAAGTATTAGTCTGGCTGTTTTTATCTCTGCCTTGCCATCCTCTACCATGAGAAACAAAATACAACGGACACAGATTTGCTTGGGTAAGAATGTTCTGTACTCTGTATTGTGGAAGGGCAGTGTGGAAATGTACAAAACTTTTCACTGAATTGACAAAACAACCAATGAAAGTGGCTGTTGACACAGAGATTCTAACCTAGACTCAGAGTAAAACAGACTTTCAACTAGAATGAATACCTCAACATCAACAACCACCTTCCCCTATGACTGTGCATCAAAGTACGTCTCAAGACCACTGTTTTTGGCCACCTTCTTACCCCTACCCTCCCTGCCCTCCGCCCCTCCTGATCCCAAACCCCTGCTCGGGTCCAAATCCCCAACTGTCCAGTGATTTGGGACGTCTTCCCAAAGTGAAAGGCGCTGCACAAATGTAATCTGTTCTTGCATTTATATAGCTCCCCTTATGCAGTGTAGCATCTCAGGGCGCTTGAAACTGGCTGAGCCTGACTCTGAGCCGGGGGGAGTTGACCATATGCACAGTCATAGGGGAAGGTCCTCAGCTGTGACCTGAAGATGGGGATGGGGATGTGGAGTCCTGTAGCTCAGTGGTTAGAGCACTCGCTTTGCAAGTGAGAGACCGGAGTTCAATTCCAGGCAGGACAGGGCGAAACCTTGGGCAAGTTTCCTTACTCCACACAGAGCCTAATAATAATCCCTCCAAAACCAAAAACAATAATAAATTGGTCATTTACAATCTACGACTGTTTGTGGGACATTGCTGTGCGCAATTGGCTGCCGCGTTCGCCCACAAAAAATATACAGTCAATTCACTTTACAGTATGTTCTGTGAAGCGCTTTGGGACGTCCTCCCGACGTGAAAAGCGCTATATCAAATGCAAGGATTATTATTATTATTATTATTATTATTATGGAGGGGGCAAGGCGATGGGACTCAGGGAGAGTGTTCCAGAGTTCAGGCATATCTCAATGTGCTTCATAAAGACATGTGTGCGCGCGCGTGTGTGTGTGTGTGTCGTGGGGAGGGGGTGTGGCTGGGGAGAAGGTGTCCTCCAAACGGAGGAAATTAAGGAGTGTTCACCAAAGGCACAGATAACACAACACGTATGTTTTTAAATGTGTTTGGCGACTGGGAGGGAGGATGAAAGCAAAGGGATTTGGGGAGAGAGACGGCAGATTTAATACTCAGGTTATTTCCAACAACAGCAACTTGCATTTATATAGCGCCCCTCGTGCTGAGTGGTGTCCCAGAGCGCGACTCTGGGGGAGGTGACCGTAGGCACGGTCGAAGAGGTTAACGATTAAGTTTTTTTACTAATTATTATTAATTGTTAGTCCAACATGATGGTTAAGAATAACAACCCCTCTAACCTGATGTACTGGGCGGGGGCCAGTTTCTCAGCTGCCCGGACGGGCATGGCGGCCGCCACCTTCTGCGATACTTGTTTCTCGAGTGCCGATCGCGTCTTTTCTGTCAACTGCAATGAAACGGGAGATAAATGACAACAGGCTCCCAGCAGTGCTGCACCCACAACAACGAGTTTCCCAAACATTGCGGATAGTTCAGCCTCCAATTGTAATTTGGGCATTAATGGGCCGTTTTACTCAGGCCAAAGCTAACTGTCACAGTGTATTAGTGTCCATACTGAGACACTGCTACACACTGTATAATTGGGACCCCCAATTAAAGAGTTTGATTGCGCTGCCAAAACACCAACGTTTCAAACATATGGAAGCTTACGGTGCTATAGGGCAAGCAAGGCTGGCAAAGCACAGATTGAGGGCAAGAATATAGTTTGGGACATGACATGTGCAAGTGACTGTCAGGATGGTAGAAGGCGAAATGGATGGACCTCGGTCTTCTTTCGTCTAGCAATTCTTATGTAAGAACCTCGGACTCAACCGCGACATTGCACAACTGTGCAGAACATGCAATCAGCCTAGACACAAGCCCACTCCTAGAAAAATATGGTACACATCATGTATGGGCGTGTTAAAAATGCTAATAATCCTTACGTCTCATAAGGAGGAGGCCATTCCGCCCCTCAAGCCTGTTCCACCATTCTATTAGATCATGGCTGATCTGCACTTCAACTCCAATTATCTGTCCTTGCCCCACATCCCTTAACGCCCCGACCTAGTAAAAATCTATCCACCTCAGTCTTGAAAATGTAAATGGATCCAGCGTCCACAGCCTTTTAGGGGAGAGAATTTCAGATTTGCACTGTCCTTTGCGTGAAAAAAATGCTTCCTGATTTCACTCCTAAATGGCCTAGCTCTTTTTAATTTTAAGATGATGCCCTCCCCACCCCTCTATTCTGGAGTTCCCCATACACCAGAGCAAATAGTTTCTTTGTTTCTTTGCTACCCTATCAAATCCCTTTATTGTTTTAAACACCGCAATACCCCAAAGAAGTGTTGGTAAATGGCCACAAGGTATTTGATCTCACACATTACTAATGAATGACATACCTCCTTGATGCTTTCCTCATCAGGTCGCTGCAGCCCTGGATCATCTTCGTTGATAATTTCTTTAGGAATTAAATCTGTGTACTTGCTGTAGATCACCTGGAGAGAAAAAAAAAGCAGAAAAAGCAGTTCTACATTAATTTGGCGCGAGAATAAATTGAACGTAGATGCAAATCAAATGGGTTTCACTGGACGATGGACGTGGTTAGTGAATGGATTAACAAGAAGCAACTCAGTATTGCCTCAGTTTATTGTCTCCCAACCTTACGCACACTCCATTTGCAGTAAACTGTTGGTATGCTTTATTCTAGGTCCAAGTGATCGCAACCTCTCAACCGGCATAAACTCAACCCTCTCCGATCAGGGATGAACTCAGGACAAGTATTGCCCGCTCCCAGAGGAAAATAGAAAGGTTTCAGTTGAGATGCAAAACAGGTCTTATAAAGGTTAGAGAAAAGAATTTGCGACTGTTTTCACTGTGTACAACAACTACTTTTATATTTATATAAAATTTATATAACTCCCCAGAGTTATTTATATATTTATATAACTCCCCAGAGCGCTTGATTGTGGCACAGCACGATGCCAAGCTGGGGGGGAAGGTGACTGTAGGCACGGGCAAAGAGGAAGGTCTTCAGCTGCGATCCGAACATGGGGAAGGAAGGGGCAAGGCGGAGGGATAGAGGAAGTGTTCCAGAGTTTCAGGGAGAAATGGCTGAAAGCGCGGCCACCGATGGTGGAACGGAATACACGAAGGACATGCAGGAGGCCGGAGCCAGTCAAGCTCAACAACAACATTCATTTATATAGTGTCCTTCACAAAGGCAAATAGCTCAGAATGCTTGTTTGTGCACACACTGCCATGCTTTGGCTAAGGAGAATACCTTGTCTTTGGCTTGGCCTTGCCTCGCGATGGCATCAAATTTAATCTTTCCTTCTGCGTCCACCTGAACCGCCAGGGAGTTGGAGGATTTCTTCTTGCGACCGATATCCAATGGATACTGTGCCACGGGGATCTCCGGGAACGCCCCTCCATCGCCAAAATCCTGTGTGGAAAAAACTCAGGCACATCAGAACCACTCTGCAACAAGTTATGAAAAATAGTGCCAGCAATTGACACATCAATGTCAGAACATCTCAAAACTCATCTCAAATGCTGTCAAGTGCAGTGATTGTCTGCTTGTGTGGAAACCCAGCAGTCATTTTAAACACAGTGAGGTTGCCATGTGGAGTCCTGCAGTGTAGTGTTTACAGCGCTCGCCCCACAAGCGAGAGGACCTGGGTTCGATTCCAGGACAAAACCTTCCTCTACACGTCTCTCTTTACCCAGCAGTAAGTAGGAACCCGGTTGTTAGTTGATTGGCGGATCGCTTTCTGGGTGTGATAATCCCTCAAAATAATAACAACTGTTTGGGGGACGTGCTCGTGCACAATTGGTAGCCGAATTTGGCCCAAAAAATACACACTCAATCCATTGTACTGTGAAGTGCTTTGATTCGTCTCAATGACGTGATAAGGCGCTATATCGAATGCAAACATAGTATAAACGCAGGCACAAGCAAGTTGGGCCAACTGGCCTGCTGCTGTGCTGCATCGTTCGATGTAATTCTACGCATGTAATCCAAAGTTATATCCTCAGTTCCCGGAGGAGCTGGCTATTGATTTTTTTAACTCAACTGGCTCCTGTGTTTGTTGTGATGCTGCCAGGTTTTCTGATTGTACTGTTAGTTTGTCAATAAATAATGCATTCCAGCAGGAAAGATTGTGTTTATCTTTGCAATATGTCACTGTAAAGCAGGACTAGTTTCTTTTTGGAAGCTATTGATCTGATAGGGTCCCAAATCTAAGAGTGTGAAAAGAATTTCAAAGGGAGGTTAGGGGGAAAAGCCATTACACTACGTGGTTGGAAGGTAAAATTCTCTACCACAAACCATTGGTGAGGTAGAATCCATCAAGGGAATCAGATAGATGCTTGTAAAGGGGAAAGGTTGAAGTGTACGGGGAGCAAGAGTGTGAGTCAAATTAGATGGCTCATGCAGAGTAATACACTAGCTCAGTCCAAGTGGCCTGTTTTTCCTCTGTAAGCTTCATGATGTTACCTTATTTTACAAGATTATTAGAATCCTTGCTTTCGATAAAGTGCCCATAAAGTCAATTTCCGGGCAGGGCGAAACCTCAGGCAAGTTCCTGTTTACGCCTGTTTACCAGAAGCTTGGCTGTTTGTCGATTGACGGATCACTTTCCGGATAGAAGCATCCCCCACCCCACAATAAATGGATGCTCAATCCACGACTGTTTGTGGGACACTGCTGTGCACAATTGGTGGCCACGTTTCGCCCAGAAAATACAGTCAACTCACTTTACAATATATTTCGTGAAGTGCTTTGAGACGTTTCAACGACATGATACGGCGCTGTGTCAACGGCAACAATTATTATTAATAATATTAAGTTCTCAAAGTGCTAATTGTACCAGTGACTGTGTATTTGTAGGCAAACGCAGTGGCCATTTTGCACACAGTGCGCTATCAGAAAGACACATGAAGCATGTGACCATGTTTCTCTCTCAAATTCTCAACCTTGGGGACGTGTTGCCCATATGAGCCTTGACTCTTCATCTAATCTTCTCTATATCAAGAAAATCCCGCTTGTACTAGCTAAAGATTTTAACAGCTGATTACTGCACCAGGTCTGCAGCATATTATTTATTACTTGATATCCTTTCAAGGTAATCAGATAAAAACCCATGTTTCAGAAGATTGAGACTCATCACCTGGGAACCATTCTGTGTGCTTCAATGGAGCGCAAATCCTCATGGTCAATTATCCAGCACGTATTAAATACTGGAACATTAGGTATTGAAGCTGCCCATTAGAAAAGAGTTTTCACATGGCAAAAACAACAACCGTGCACAGAATGTCAGCGCAGAACTTAGAACACAACAACTTGCGTTTATACAGTACACCTCACACAGGGTAGAGTAAAATACAACAGACTTTTTCTTAAAAGTTTGACTCATCGGACAATTGCATCGACTCCCCATTTCCCTCCAGGGTAAAAGCAAGCCCCGGTGCAGCACAAGCACTTACAACCCAGAAACTTTTCACCAGTCACGTGTGCAGTTAAGCCAATCGCAGCCTGGGTTGAAGCGGTACAATCAGCCATAACATCCCTGGACAGTCGATTAGCAAACTCAACTAAGAAACTCTGATCGTAATTGATATCCAGACATCTCTCTCTGCTAGAGAGTTTGTGTGTGGTTCAAGCAGTGTGGATGAAGACAGGATTAGGCTTGACTGCAATTTGTCATGGATTGAATTGTTCTCCTGCACTCACAGTTCACACAATTTTACAGCACTGAGGGCAGCCATTCTGTCAACCGTGCTTCCCCGGTGAAAAAGCTCAATCGCCCTTTCCCTTTACAATTTTTTTTCAGATATTTGTCTAATTCACTTCTAAAGGCTATTCTGGATTCTGCTTGAACCATCATGGCAGTCCACTTGCTAATAGCCCACTTGCTCTCCTTTTAAATACTAATTTCAGTGCATTTATAAAAACAAAACTAGGAACACACATGACGATAGCTACCAGGATGGAATACAGGAAGAAGAACCCAGGGCAGGTAGAACTAAATGCCAGCAAAGATTGCCAATGACGGGAGGAGTCATTTGGCAGCAATAACAAATGCAATTTGTTCCATCTGGGTTATAAAGGGATTTATCTAAAACAATTACCTCAACGGTTCGAGGAATCCAACCCTTTCTGTATCCATATGGTGGAGGCTCTCGCCGTGAAGCCACTAAAGCGGTCTGTCTCACTCGAGAATGAGATTTCTCTTCAGACTCCAGCTGGTCCTGGGACAGCTGAGTTGGTGCTGGTAAAAAGCTGCAGGAAAGAGAATGAAATCACAATGGTTATCTACTTACCTCAAAAACAACTTGTATTTAAGTTAACAGACGGGCACCGTCTCAGAGTGCTTAACAATGGCGGATTCTGACTGATGAAGCCGAGGATTATGGCTTCCGTCTTGTTGATGTTCAGCTGCAAGAAGTTTGCAGGAAGTTTGCCTTGAAATAATAATAATAATCCTTGCATTTGAAATAGCGTGTCTTTGAGACGTCTCAAAGCGCTTCACAGAATATACTATAAAGTGAATTGACTGTATATTTTGTGGGCAAAACCTGACAGACAAGTTGACAGACCATCAATGGATCTGGAGTTGCAACTGGTTAAGGAAAAGTAGATTTGTGTGTCATCCGCTTACATGTGGACACTTACCCCGTGCCTGTAGATGATATCGCTGAGAGAGAGCATGTAAATCAGGAAAAGAAGGGAGCCGAAAATGAAGCCTTGGGGTATACCACAGGTGATTGAGCGGGGTGGGAGGAAATAATGTTTGTGGAGATAAAGTGATGACGGTTGGTTAAGTAAGGACTCAAACCAGGTGAGAACCTTTCACTTCAGAATGAGAAAGGCAATAGGAGGGCAACAATTCCATCCAATTACAACAACTTGGATTTGAATAGGGTCCTTCTTGCGGCTAGCGTGTCGGAACACTTAACAGCAGAGTAGTTTGACACTGAGCTGGAAAGCGGGTAGGTGACTGAAGGCACGGTTGAAGAGGAATCTTCAGGTGTGATTTGAAGATGGGCAGAGAGGTGTAAAACAAAGGGTTTGAGGTAACAAGTTCCAGAGATTAATCTGCACCATTAGTCAACTCGAGTTACAATTCAGGAAAATCTAACAGGTTTAACAACTTGCAGTTACATGCTGCCTTTCTATAAATATGCAGAAATAGTCAAACCACTTTAGAAAATAATTGCATATGAAGGGAAGCATGGAGGCAAACCTATCAGCCAATTTGCCACAGCATGAATGATGAACCAACAAACAGTCAATTATTTTTAATTGACAATACAAATTGACATTTACGTCCAGCGCCTTTCATGTTGGGAGAGCACCCCAAGGCGCTTAATAATCCTGCTTTGTCACCTTAAGTGCAAATTTGGATGAGGAGGGTTCATAAACTGGGATAACCGGGAGTAAAACTCCCAAGCTTTGTTGAAGCACGGGTAGCAGCGTTAACCTGACCTTTCCAAAAGTCGCATTGAATTAACAATCCATCAACTATCACTGGTTGTTTGGGCAGAAAGAGAATACAACTTTATCTGTGCCTTGGGAAGTCCTTCCGACGTGAAAAGCTCTATACAAATGTAATCTTGTTATTGTTGTATTTTGAGATAAGTTCAAATCATACTGCAGCTGTAAAATCTGTGCATCGTGAAAGACGATACTCGTTTTCATTTGACTGAATTTCGTTTGGCCCATAAAATACAGTCGATTCACTGTACTGTATATGCTGTGAAGCGCTTTGAGATGTCGCAGCAATGTGATGAGCCACTATATTAAATGCAAGGATTATTGTTATTATTTTCAGTGCCCGATCTGTGGCCCAACATTACCAGTAAAAGGAAACAAATAAAAACACAGAACGGAACAATTAATAATAATAATCCTTGAATTTGATACAGCGCCTTATCACGTCTTCGAGACGTCTCAAAGCGCTTCACAGAATATACTGTAAAGTGAATTGACCGTATATTTTGTAGGTGAAACACGGCGGACAATTGCGCACAGCGGTGTCCCACACACAGTCGTGGATTGAGTGACCACATTATTTTTTTGTTTGTTTGTTTTGAAGGGATTAACTGTTTGGAGACTATGTACACCACATATCTATATATATATCTCTCTCTATATATATATACAATATAATTTTTAAAAAAAACTATATAAAAGTAAATTGAGTGGCAATGAGATCACTTTGGGCGCCTCTCGGCCACTTGCGGAGCTGAGCGCGGGGGCCTCAGAGGCTGCGGGTCCGGGCCTGGGCTGAGCAGGTAGGAAAGGCCGAGGCTTTTACAGGCCTCGCGGAGGCGGCCGAAGTAACTAAGGGGCGGTAATTTTCTCCCCCGGAGCTGCGCAGCGCGCTGGGCTTCGGCTGCGGGAGGCCCCCCCGCCGAGCCCCGGTGCCTCTCCGCCGCCGCCCCTCCTGCCCAACGACCCGAGAAGAGGAACACCAACCTCGTCAGCGCCATCTTGTCCCGACACCATGCGTCTGACGTCACGCGGCAGCTCTCCCACCAACGTCCACACTCCGTGCCCTGCGTCTCTGACGTCACGCGGCCACCCACCCACCAACGTCCACGCTCCGAGCCCTGCGTCTGACGTCACGCGGCCACCCACCCACCAACGTCCACGCTCCGAGCCCTGCGTCTGACGTCACGCGGCCACCCACCCACCAACGTCCACGCTCCGAGCCCTGCGTCTGACGTCACGCGACCACCCACCCACCAACGTCCACACTCCGAGCCCTGCGTCTGACGTCACACGCAGTTTGCAGCCCCCAATCCTCCCGCTACGAGCCCCAAAGTAGCCCAAATATTTCTATGTGAGTACCATCAGAGTGGACGATTTAGGTTTGTGTACGAAAAGATCCCCAAAAGGGGGTAAAGCACGTTTTGCAGGTTTTTAAATTAACTTTGTGTTTGTTTAAAAAAAATTAGGCGCCGACCCCTCCCCCCCAACCGTTTTTTTTACACACGCGCAGTGACGACAAAAATCCGCCCAAATTGAACGTGAACCCGCCCAACCTGCCCACGCTCCCAAGGTACATCTGACGTCACGGGGCACGCAGGGCCTCGGTCGCCGCGAGTTGCTGACGTCCTGGCGCAGAGGCCGCCGGGAGTTGTAGTTCTCTCCCCCCCTTCCTCTGACACATAAAAAGATAATTGTTCGCAAAGTTTACGGTTGGCGCAAAAGATCAAAGCCATTCGCAGTTCGCCGACTCCCGGTAGCCGCTCGCTATCATCCCCGGGGCCCGGCCGGCCATCAGGAGAGAAGCCCGCTGTGGTCGGCAGGTTCCCGGCTCGTCTCTCGCCCGCAGCCTCGCTGGTCGCCATGGAGACGAGGCCTGGTCGGAGCCGGAGCAGCGCCGGAGGGAGCAGCCGGTAAGGACCAAACGCACAGGTCTCCCTGTGGGGGGAGGGGGGCACTCCCTGGCGGTCCTTCAAGGTGAGACCCTGAACTCTCTCCTCGGATTGTGGGTTCAAACACCCGCTTTTTCACGTCTGAAAGGCTGGTGGGAGCCGATTCCACCACAACTTTTAAGGGAGAAGTCGATCATTATTTGGGGGGGGGGGAGGGGGGAGGACAAGTTTGCAGGGCTGTGGGGAGAGAGGGCGGGGGAGTGGGGGTTCAGTTGGAAAAGCTCTGGTCAAAGAGCCACACCAGGGCCCGAATGGCCTCCTTCTGCGCTGTGTAATTCTATGATTCTATGTTAGGACTCGGAGTCACATAGTCTAAGCCGATGCTCCAGTGCGGCGCTGGGGGGCGGGTGGCGGGAGGGTTGTCTTCGGATGTGCCGTCCTTCGGACGAGACGTTAAACCAAAAACTCCCCGTCTGTGTCCTGTTCAGGTGGACGTTAAAGATCTCCCGCCGGCGCTATTCAAAAAGAGAGCGGAGTTTCTCTCTCTCTCTCTCCCGGTGTCCCGGCTGGCAATCCCCCAGATAATAATAATAATAATAATAATCCTTGCATTTGATATAGCGCTTTTCACGTCGGGAGGACGTCCCAAAGCGCTTCACAGAACACACTGTAAAGTGAATTGACTGTATATTTGTGGGCGGACGCGGCAGCCAATTGCGCACAGCAATGTCCCACAAACAGTCGTAGATTGAAAATGACCAATTTATTATTGTTTTTGGTTTTGGAGGGATTATTATTAGGCTCTGTGTGGAGTAAGGAAACTTGCCCAAGGTTTGGCCCTGACCTGCCGGGGATTGAACCCAGGTCTCTCACTTGCAAAGCGAGTGCTCTAACCACTGAGCTACAGGACTCCACTAAAATTGCCGATAAAATTGGTCGCTCGCTTCACGACTGTTTGTGGGCCTCTGCTGTGCGCAATTGCCCGACTCCCGACACTGCCTCACCCCTCAGGCCGCTGAAATCCTCGTGCACCCTTTGGGACTCCATCCCACAGTCCCTGCGCCTTACTCCCTCCCTTGCCTCCTTCAAGACACGACTCAAGACCCTCCTTTTCGACCGTGCCTTCATCCTCCCTCCTACCTCTCTGCCCACCCCAACCCTGCTCCCCCACGCCCGGGTCCTGATTCCCAACCATTCAGCGCCCTGGGATGTCCTCCTGACGTGAAAGGCACTTCACAAATGTCATTTTGTTGTTGTTGTGTTTCACCCACAATATACTCGGTCACCTCACTTTACTCTGTATCCCGTGAAGCGCTTTGAGATGTCTCGACAATGTGACAAGGCGCTATATCAAATGCAGTGAGTGAGAGGGAGGCAGAATCTGGGGGGGGGCGCGGGGGTTAGAGAGAGATGGTGAGGGAGTGAGTGAGAGGGGGTGTGGGGGGGTGAGTGAGTGAATGAGTCAGACAGACAAAGAGAGGAGGAAGTGAATGAGAGACACGGAGATAGTCAGGGAGTGAATGGGAGAGTCACAGAGAGAGAGTGAGGAAGATTGTGTAAAGTGAGGGGCTGCCTTACACACTCCCCCAAAATCTCTAGGCTATAACTGTCTAATTAAAGTAAGTTTTGCTCATTTTTTGATTTTGCTTGTCATCTTGACCTCCCTGTGTGCATTGACCTTGATCATTACTCAAATATATTCCTGTATCCATTACATTGAATTACATAATACTCCACCAAAAATAGGCTGTGCAACTTAACAAGTCTGTTATAATCTGCCTCTCCCTCGTCCTCTGCCACACCCCTTCATTATTTTAATTGTGAACATGTATCACATCTTACATGTATATTATCTTACTTCACTTCATAGAATTATACAGCACAGAAGGAGGCCACTTGGCCCACCGTGTCTGTGCTGGCTCTTTGAAAAGAGCTACCTACCTCAATCCCGCTCTCCCTATAGCCCTGCAAACTTGTCCTCCCCAAATAATTATCTATTTCTCTCTTAAAAGTTGTTTAAGAGAAAACCTGAAGACCTTCCTCTTCGACTGTGTCTATAGTCACCTCCTCTTTCTCCCCAGCTCGGTGTCTCCTAGCCAACAATCTCCCAAATAAAATTGATCATTCGTTTCATGGCTGTTTTTGGCACATTGCTGTGGCGTTGAAAGGATGACACCTCCAATGATGCAGTAGTGCACTGGAATATTGGACTGGACTCTGAGCTAAACTCCTGACAAGAGGCACATGGACATAATCTCGAAATTAGAGCAACGCTGTTAGGGAGTGAATACAGAAAACACTTCTTCACACAAACGGTTGAGAGAATTTGTGCTGGCTAAGAACGCCAGTAATGAGAAATTAATTCAAGAATTTAAGAGTACAGGACTTGCGCAAGGCGGGATTTGGAGGAAAGGCAGGGGATTGGGATTCAATGATTAAAGCTACCATCTGTCTGACGCTCATAACTATCTGCCTGATTGTTTTGCTGTGTTCAAGTCTGTTAATGCTGATGGTCAAAAGCTTCAACATGTGGAAACTGTGGTCATTTTCGTCCATTATCCTGCTGGTAGCCAAACAAACTGCGTTTATATAGTTCCTTTCACGTCGGGAGGATGTCCCAAGGCACTGGACAGTCGCAGGTACCCAGAAAAGAGCCTTAGCCTTGTCGGCATTCAACTGGAGAAAATTGGCTGTTATCAAGGACTTGTCACAGTGTTAGTAGGGGGCAAGGAGGTGGAGATGGGAGGTAAGGAGAGGGTTAGGGATGGGGTCAAAGTGTTGGGTCTCATTTGGGAAATGATGGAGGTGAGAAAAGGGGGAGATGATGCCAAAGTGTGGAGGGAGGGATAGATGGAGGGTAGAGGGGAAGGTGGGGAGGGGGTATTAGTAGGAAGGACAGAGGGAACAGAGCAGATCCCCTCAATTTTGGATTCAACAAAGTCCATCAAGTCCTCTCCTCCAAGGCCTCACATTTGGAGTTGGAGGAGAGGATGTGTGAGACATGGGAAGGTAGACAAAGGAGCCGGGAGATTTCTTGTGTAAAAATACCCGCTCCTTGTTAATAACAGAGAGAAAGAGTTACGACGGAGGGCAAGAAAGGACTGTTGAATAGAGATGGGACAAAGCACAATCGATGGAAACTAGTAAAGGCAGCACTGTGGGGACACAGGATCAAAATAAGTTGCACGTTTTTCAGGTAGATTCTGTGCTTCAAGCCTCCTATGGTGTTCTGAAAGCATCACAGCGTGGTGTTGACAGACAAGTATTCAATACTGCAAGCTCACAGAAACGTAACTGCTTCTGATTGAAAGTGGATGGAGTACCTTGATTATAGACCAGCGGGTAAATGCGTCCTGCACTGTGGCATTGAGTCAGGTGGAGCACGCTCGCTTCTGGGTCAGAACATTGTGGCTTCAAGTCATTTATTTGGTCAGCCGGGTGTCTGACACACGCGGAAACCCACCGCTATGCTTAAGAATATTCAAATCAAACTGAGATTTCCATGCATCCCACCTACACGTGTAAATCCCAGAGGTAGATTGTTGGAATGGAATGCACTCTCTCTCTCTCTGGAGGGACGCATCCTGCTTACCTAATTCTGGAAAGTATTTGGCGCAGGATGGCAAGAGCCAAGGCTTGGGGGACCCCAGAGTGTGCATTGGGGTAACTGCTGGAGTCTAATCAGCTAAAACCACTTCAAATCCCACATCGGGATATTTGAGCTCACGCTCAGCACTGGAGGGAATGCAGAATTGTCAGAGGTGCTGTCCTTTGAATGAGACGTTAAACCAAGGTCATGTGTGGCTATTTGGTTTTAGTCTTGCTCTCACTCCTGCGCTCCGTAAAGCCTTCCTAAAAACTATTACGAATTGTCAGGACCTCAATTTAACGTTTCCAGCCTTCAAAACCCAATTCAAAACCTATCTCTTTGACCAGACTTGTTGTCAGCAACATCAGGATCCCCTCCACCTGCACCCAGTGTCCCCAGGTTGGACTTTGTAAAGAGCTTCAAGAATCATACTTCAAAGGAGCTTTATGAGCGCAAGTTACAATTGAGATATTTTGCTGTTATAAAGTCCTATATCAATGCAATCGCGTACAAACACCATAAATAAATATGCAGGCTGTTGATGCTCTGCTCCAGAGTGCTGCGTTCACTAGTTCCCATTGACTGTGCCAGTCCCAGCAGCTAATCAGACATCCTTGCACAGTTCTGGCCAGCTTGATGTACCCATGGCGACAGACAGAAATAGCACTGGGTCCTGTACTTGCAGGTTTTATCAATTTTCCTCGCTTCAGGAGCATTCGTTTAACAGCTTTGTTTGATGACTGCTCCTTGCACACCTGCTATACAGGCCTTTGCATTGAGTGGGTGTTCAAAAAAGATTTATGTTGGTCCATGGGCTTGAGCAGGGAGGTAGTGACTGTCTGAAATTGTCCCTCTCAGTGGCTATTGGAACTAGGCAGTGCTGATGGGGAAGCGGTGAGTAATGACTACAAACGATCCTATGGAGTCCTGTAGGGTTTTGGTTAGTGCACTCTTCTCGTAAGCGAAAGGACTCGGGTTTGATTCCTGAGCAGGGTGAAACCTTAGGCACATTTCCTTACTCCACACAGCTCTGTTTACCTAGCAGTTAGTAGGAACCTGGTTGTTAGTCGATTGGTGGATCGCTTTCTGGGGTTAATAATCCTTTCAAAAAAATAAAATAATGATAATTTGGTCACTCAATGCACTGCCGCATTTCGCCCACAAAATATACAGTCAATTCACTTAACAGGATATTCCGTGAAGCGTTTTGAGACGTCTTGACAATTTGATAAAGCTCTATATCAAGTGCAAGGATTATTATTATAATAAACGAGGAGCTGTGGTCAATTTAGTACTGTCCTTTAAACACTCTCGCTTCTGGGCCAGCTGTCAGGTCATAAAGTCACGGCACTGGAAGCTGATATTAAACCAAGCCTCCATCTGCACGGTCTTCAGGTGGATGTTGAAAGGTCCCATGACACTACTTGAAAAGAGAGGAGTTTTTTCTCATGTCCTCTGGCCAGCAATCCTCTAGATTAATCACTCATTCCCCTCACGACTCTTTGTGGGAATTTTCTGAACATTAAGTTCTTTCTTTTTTTTCTTTCTTTTTTAAAAAAAGGACTGTTAATAATAAAAATAATCCTCACATTTGATATAGTGCCTTTCATGCCGAGGGGACGTTTGTGAGCCTCTTCGCAGGATATATTTTAAAATGTAGGGACTGTGTATTTTGTAGGAGAAGGTAAATGATGCTGCAAAAATACAATTTTTTGCTTTTCCTAGTAATGTTATGATGAACTCTCCTAGCATTGGAGTCACGTAAGCGTAGTGGTTAGAGCACTCGCCTCGCAAGCGAGAGGACCTGGATCTGTCAAGTTTCCTTCCTCCATACGCCTCTGTTTACCTTGCATTTGATATAGCGGTTTTCACGTCTTTTAGACGTCTCAAAGCGCTTCACAGAATATACTGTAAAGTGAATTGACTGTATATTTGTGGGCGAAATGCGCACAGCAGCGTCCCACAAACAGTCGTGGATTGAAATGACCAATTTATTATTGTTTTTTTGAGGGATTATTATCAGGCGTGTGGAGTAAGTAGGGACCCGGTTAGTCGATTGGCTTTTCTGGGGGTAATACTCCCAACTCAAGAAAATTTAAAAATAATAATTTTATCACTCGAGGGAAGTGTGGAATGAGAACAGGCAGGTCCTTCGGATGCCGCAGGAAGAGGTCGTTGGATTCAAAAGGCGTAACTTGACAGGGGGCAGATGAGGAGGCATCGAGGACATACTGGGCTGGGATAAGCAAGCCCTGAAGATGTAATCTGACCAGTCAGGAGGGAGGGAGTCAAGTGTAGCTGGGTGATAGAACACAGTCTGATAGCAATGACTTTGGCCCTCTAGGGACCAAGGTTTGAATCACTCCTCTATAGCTGAAGTGAAGATATCTCTTACCTGTCTGTGGTCTCAGGTGACAGGAGCTCTGTTATAGTAATAATAATAAAATAACAATCCTTGCATTTGATACAGCGTCCACAGCGTTGGAACTTCTCAAAGCGCTTCACGGGTGATTGCTATCAAGTGTAGTGACTATGCATTCGTAGGGCATAGTGGCATACAATATGCACACAGAATGCTGTTTGTGGGACACTGCTGTGCGCAATTGCCCACAAAATATACAGTCAGTTCACTTTACAGTATATTCTGTAAACCGCTTTAAGTCGTCTCCAAGACATGATAAGGCTCTATATTAAACGCAACGATTATTATAGCATTGAAAGCACCGCACAGGGAATGTCTATGTGTAGTGTTGAGCTTCAGGTTTGTGTAAAAGTAGTCAGCTTCGCTTGCAACCCTTATCTGTAACTTTTAAGTGCAACATTTTTTTTCACACTCCCAGTTTTTTGCCAGCAGAAACAGTCACTACACTTGACAGTAATTACCTTTGAAGCATTGGAGTCTTTCCAAAGTGATAAGAACGCTATAAAAATGCCAAGTTTTTTATTTCTCTCCGTTGTTATCGTTTCTCTCCTCCTTATCAGTCATGGCGTTAATCTAATGCCAAACTGTCAGTTCAGTTCCACAGAAGCACTGCCTCAAAATTCTAATGACTTTCTACAATAATTTATTTCAAACCCGGATGTGTAAGAATCTGCCTGCATTCTCATGCGTTATTTCCATTACTGAAGTACCTTGAGATGACCCCAGAAGTGAAAGGTGCTACATAAATATAAATTTGTATTGTGTGGTACTACTCTGTGTTGTACACTGGTCTGCGAGTCAGTAACAAGAGAGGGCCTGTGTTTAGGATATTCACAAAGAGAATTAAAGGGGAGGTTAGTCTTAGCATTATTGGAAAAAGCAGAGAGTTTCCCCCAGTGTCCTGTCCTGTCCAATGATCCTCCATATAAAATGAGTCATTCACTTCTTCATGGTTGTTTGTGTGACATTGTGTGTTGGGAGCTGCTGGGTTTGCCTGTAAAACAGTCACTACACTTGACAGCAATTACCTGTAAAACACTTTGAGATCCTGTAATCTAATATATACTATGGAGTATATATGGAGGATGTATGGAGTCCTGTGGCATATTGGTCGTGTATCTTTCAGTCCTATAGTGATTTTGTCACTCAATCCACGACTGTTTGTGGGACACTGTTCTGTGCAATTGGCTGCCGCGTTTCGCCCACAAAATATACAGTCAATTCACTTTATAATGAACACTGTGAAGTGCTTTGAGACGTCTCAATGACGTAATAAGGCATTGTATCAAATGCTAGGATCATTATTATTATGATGTGAAATTCAGCGATACCTGTGCATTGCTGAAATGTGAGTGAGTTGGTTGTGATGAGTAATGAGTCCCTCTCTCTCTCTCTCTCTCCACAGAGGCCTTGTGATGGCAAAGAGGTTCTTGAAGCTGAGAACAGTGGCTACCACAGCGCTGGCTGCCTCGGGTCTCTATGTGGCCTTACGGGTGGATCCCAATGACTTGGGAGTCGTCAGAATTGGACGCGCTGCAATCACTGTGAGCCACGGAGATTTTATGCAGTCTTATTCCAATGTACAAAGTGCTCCGTGATGCTGTCTGGCATGAAGTGCACTAAATAAATGCAAGTTGTTGTTTCTTCACCACAGAGGCTTGCGTGAATGTGAAATACACTGCCGCAGACAAAATAAATTGAATGTTTTAGAGGGAGCTGGACAATCGGGGAATTTGGACCCAAGCTGGGGGTGGGGATCGGGGTGGGGGGGTGGGGATGTGGAAGGCAGGGAGGCAAGTGGGGAAGGGTCTTCTCTGGTCGTCTACGTTCACCAAGTGCAGAGAAAATATACAGTATAAATAAATACCCAAGCCTGAACAGTCGTTGAGCATTTGTCCAATTGTAATTTGCAGACGGCAGTTATCAGCTACGACTACATGACTTCGCTGAAGAAGCTTCAGCGGGGGACAGACGAATACGAGGCTGTCAAATCGCAGGTACGTCCAAATACATAGGAACAGGAGTAGACCATTCAGCCTCTCTATAAGATCTGTACCGTCTCAAGACCCTCCTCTTCAACCTTGGTTTGATGTTATCTGAAGTAAAGCACTTCTGCATTTACTGTGTGTTTTGTGGATGAACGCGGCAGCCAATTTACGCACAGGTGTATGACTTTAACCTGCCATTATCACAGTGAATCTCCACTGTACTCTCCAATCCAGTCTCCAATACCCTTTCAGTAATGAGGTTCCTAACAGCTGGAGGAGCCACTGTGGCCAACTCATGTTTATAAATGATAAATGTGGAGTTTATACCTAATGAAGACAGCGTTCCTCCCGGGATCTTTCTCGACAGATTACATGGTGCTCATGGGGGGAGTGGTGTGGAAGGGAGTGGGGGAGTGCTCGCTAAAGGGAGCAAATGGTCTTTTCTTATTAAAGAGATGATATTTTGATGAAGTATCAGAACCTGTGGGAGGAATAAGGCAACAAGAGTCTCGTACGTACACTCCAAGCCCCTCTGTGTTACCGCACACATAAGCGTGTGTGATTAAATTTATTGCAGTGCTAAAGAGAACAGATGGCTTGCTGAATCCTGGGGGAGAGGGGGCAATATTTTGAATTATTTATTCATATGACCCCCTCCTCTTGCACGAAGGTTGCAAGCTAAGCGTTTAGTAATAATTCTAATTAAGATGATTTATTCGTTGCAGCTCTGAATATCTTCTTTTACTTCTTAACGATATGAGTTGGGTTTGTGGGGGGGGGAGCGGTGAGAAAAACAATTAGAGAACAGCTTCACACAGTTCACTTTCATTAACATCTGTAAACACTGCATTAAGGCAACGTGAAGCGATTCTGCTCTGTCGTGCGTTCAGATTTGTTGAGTGCAACTCCCAGGCACGGAATGTCATCGAGAACAATGCTTGACAATAAATAGTAATAATCCTTCCTTTTGCTACAGAGCCTGCAATGTCAAAAAATCTCATAAGAACTTCACAACATATTGCTCTGAAGTGTGTGTTTTTGCCTTGGCACAGGGAGAAAGAAGCTCCCTTTTCTTGAATAATAATCATCATCATAATAGTAATATTTACATTTCATATAGCGCCTTATCACGTGTTCGAGATGTCTCAAAGCGCTCAAAGTGGATTGAGTGGGTATTTTTGGGGACGAATGCGGCAGCCAATTGCTTACATCAGTGTCCCGCAAACAGGCGTGGAATGAGCGACCACATTTTTTTGGGGGGGTGGGTGGAATTATTATCCCCGGAAAGTGATCCGCCAATCGAGTAACAACCAGGTTGCTACTTATTGCTAGATAAACAGAGATGTGTGGAGTATGGAAAAGAACGTATTTGGCTGCGATCATTTCCGGGCTTTATTTAGATACCGTGATGCTAATTTAGCAGACTTCCTGTTTGGGTGGACGTTAAAGATCCCGTGACACTATTGGAAAAGCGGGCGGAGTTTCTCCCCCTGTCCTGGTCGACAAACGTCCTGCCAAATTGGTCAATCACTTTGTGGGTGTTTTCACAAATTGGGTACCTCGTCAGCCGCCAAAATACACAGTCACTACACGTGACAGAAATTACATGTGAGTGTGCCATGTCAAATCAAAGGATTATTATTTTTAAAACCCAGAACAAAATGGAGGCTCGTATGGTCGAGTGCTTTCTCAGAATAAACAGCATAAGCTGTACACTGTAATAAAACCAATATTGCCTCCACCACTGGGTATTTGTCTAAGTGCAACAACAACGAAAATTTGCAAATCGCTGTCAATAGTAATAAAATGAGAAAGTGGAGGAGCTGATTTTAGTCGTATTAAGCAGTTCATTTGCACGCTAATGAATCGTAAACATCTTGTCACGCTGATGTGCTGACTCGCAGGTTTTGTGTGAAGAGAGTGAATTGGAAGAGAGCCACAGAGCCCAAGGTAGCATACGCGACTGAATGCACTGAACGCGTAGTGGAGGGTTTAAGTTGTGCTCTCTTTTCCCACCATTTGGCTGCATTCAGCCTTCGCTCCCCGTCTTTAATTAGTTCGCATTTTATGCTAATTAAACAGCAATGTGTGGTTAAGCAATCAGCGTGCACTTAAAGCAGCGTCAGGCGTTAGCTTTGCTAAGGTTTGTGAGCGGCACCGAGTAGCGTTTTAGGATTTCTTCAAGGTGAGCCGTCCGCACCGCCCACTTGCTCCTGCGATCGTCCCTGCTGCTCACTCGTACAACACGGCAGCCCTGCAGGGTCAACGCCTGTCAGTGTCGGGCCCTCCCTGAGCAGCAGGAGGACCAAGGGCATGTCTATCAGAGCCCAGCACTGCCCACTCCTAGCCCTTTACTGACCTGGCTTCCGTTTCTCAAAGGTTTTACTTCTTGAGCAGCTTCCTCCATTTCCCCCATCCACCTCGTTCCACTGTCAGCGGACAAGCATTCAGCCACTACCAACCCCCACACCCACCTTCCACATTCACACCTTCTGCAACTCTCAGGCTGATGCAGCACTGGAGGAGCGCTGTATTGCTGGAGTTACCGTCCATCAAATGAGACGTTAAACCTTGCTCCCATTTGTTGCCCTGTTCAGGTGGACATTAAAGACGCTACAATACTATTTAAAAATATCGGGCACTTCACTCACCTCATGGCTGTTTGTGGAACTTTGCTGTGTGCAAAATGACCACCGTAAAAATAATCACGGCTCTGGGATACACAGCGCTTTATGACGTCTTAATAATAATAAAAGTCCTTGCATTTAATACACCGCATCTCTTCGAGACGTCTCAATGCGCTTCACAGAATATACTATAAAGTAAATTGACTGTATATTTTGTGGGTGAAACAGTCATGGATTGAGTGACCAAATTATGTTTTTATTACCCCTGGAAAAGCTAACTAACAATCAACTAACAAACGGGTTCCTACTTACTGCTACTTACTGCTAACAGAGGCATGCGGAGTAAGGAAACTTGCCCAACTTTTCACCCCACCCGGGAATCCAACCCAGCCATCTTGCTTGCAAGGTGAGCGCTCTAACCCCAGAGGATCCTGAAGTTGTAATCCTTTACCACTCTCCTGCCCTACTGACTTGGCGTATCCTTGGCGTTTCTCTTTTGTTTTGGTCAACCGGGTGTCTTAATACATGTGGAAACCGATCACCAAACCAAACTGAGAATTCCATGTATCCCACCTACACATCGAAATCCCAGAGATAGATTGTTGGAATGGAATGTGCATTCTCTTCCTGGAGGGATGCATCCTGCTCACCTAATTCCAGAGAGTATTATGAGCAAGATCCAAGGCTTGAGGGAGCCCAGAGAGTGTGTTGGGGTAACGATTGGAGTCTAACCAGCTTGCCATTGAGAACGTGTCTGGCAAGGTTTCCTGCTGCTTATCCAGCTAGACCACCCTACCCTTTAGGGTTTTGGCTTCCAGGGTTACCAGGAGCTGCGTAAGAGGATTCCCTGCCATTTCTCTTTAAATAAACGCCCTTTTAAAATGCTATTATATGCCAAGCTTTAAAAGCCATTTGTGGCAATGCATTCCAGCAACCTTGTGAGAAAATATTACTTTTAACTACTTCCCTTAACTCTTCCGGTGACAATTGCTACCAGTTTTCCAACGAGCAGGAATAATCATTCACATTTTTTTAGCTCAAACTTTTTCAACCATCTGCTGTGACTTATAAATGCCACATCTTTAGCAGCCAAAAATCTGTGTATGAGTTTATGTAAAGGAATCCCATAGCATAGTGGTTAGAGAACTTGCCTCGCAAGCGAGTGGTTCTGGGTTCGATTCCTGGGCAGGGCGAAACTTTAAGCAACTTTCCTTACTCCACAAGCCTCTGCTTACCTAGCAGTGAGTAGGAACCCAGTTGTTCGTCGTTTGGTGGATCGATTTCCGAGAGTAATAAGTCCTTCAAAAAAAGATTTGGTCACTCAATCCATGACTGTTTGTGGGTCACTGCTGTGCGCAATTCGCCCACAGTCAATTAACTTTACAATATATTCTGTGAAGCGCTTTGAGACGTAGCTCAATGACACGATAAGGCTGTTTTGCAAATTATTAAATGCGAGGAGGTTGCGTTGTAGCGAACATGACGCACATCTATTTGCTGTCAGAATTTAATATTTACGTCGCTTAAGCTCCACTGAGTAGAATTAACTTTGGAGGTTTTGTGTTTGCCTGTTTGCTCTCTGAAATGTATGGCTCAGTCGTTGTGCTCTCTCCCCACTGGGTCACAAGGATGTGGGGTCAATTGAGCCCATTGTATAGGCTGATCCTACAGTACAGGGCTGGGAGGAAACGACATTGTCACAGATACTGTCATTCAGATGAGATGTTGACTTGCCTAAGGTGTCGCCCCGACAGGGAATCGTATCCGGGTCCTCTCGCTTGCGAGGCGAGTGCTCTGATTACTACACTACAGTGAATACGCAGGGAATGTCTTCCAGTGTCCTGGCTGACAACCGAGAGTCTAAGGATTTCGTGATTATTAATAATAATAATCCTTGCATTTGATATAGTGCCTTATCACGTCAATGAGACATCTCAAAGCGCTTCACAGAATATAGTGTAAAGTGGATTGACTGTATTTTATGGGCGAAACACACCAGCCAATTGCACACAGCAGTGACCCACAAACAGTCATCGATTGATTGACCTATTTATTTATTTTGAAGGGATTATTACCCCTGGAAAGTGATCCGGCAATGGACTTACTGCTAGGTAGCAAGGCAAGTTGCCTAAGGTTTCGCCCCACCCCGGAGAATCGACCCCGGGTCCTGTCACTTGCGAGGCGAGTGCGCTGCATGCTACTGGAAGGGGCAGGGAATGTCTCCCAGTGTCCTAACTGACAATCCTCCAGAAAAATTGGGCATTCATCTTGTGCCCGTTTATGCGGGATCTTGCTGTGTGCACAACGACTGCCACACTTGCCTACAAAAAAACTCTACAGATGACAGTAATTACCTTAAAGCCCTTTGAGAAGTTGCAATGT